GTGGTATGCCTTTTTCTTCTGCTGATGGTTTCCTTTGCTATAAAGAAGCTTTTCCTACTTGCTCATTTTAGTTTCCCTTGCTCAAGGAGATGTGCCTAGGGAAAAAATTGCCCATACTTATGTTCAAGAGATTTTTACCTATGTTTTCTTCTAAGGGTTTTATGGTTACATGACCTACATTGAAAGGTCTTTGATCCATTTTGAGTTTACTTTTATGTTCGGGGTGAGGCAGTGATCCAGTTTCATTCTCTTGCACGTAGCTGTCCAGTTTTCCCAGTGCCAGTTATTGAAGAGGCTGTCTTTTCTTCATTGTATATTCATGCCTCCTTTATCATATATTTACTAATTACTCTTTAAAAAAAAAAGTTGCTGATTTAGTTAGGAAAGTGAATTTTAGGAAGGAAATGGGGACCCCTCCACTGAGATTTAGTGAGGCTCAACTTTCTCTTATTGTTCAATAGAAAAGATTCACTCAGATTGTTCTTCTCTTTGTTAGTGTTAAACCCATTGACTTATCCTTTACTACAATCACTGTTGAACTTCAAGTAGTGTAAGTTCCAACCTAGATAGGTGTGCTACTGTTGAGAACAGTTAAGAGCAGGGGCCCTAGAACCACACTGCCACATTTTGAATCTTGACTTTTTCTCTTACTGGAGCTGGGGCCTTAGGGAAATTAGTTTCTCTGTACCTCAGTTTTCTCACTGTAAAATGGGTATAATACTAGTATTTACCACAAGAGTTGCTGTGAGGATTAAATAACACATATAAAGAACCTGGCAAATAGTAAGCATGAATTAAGTGTTGGCTGTTACGACTGAAGGTTTAAGCAGAAGTTTCAAAGACCATTGTGGTGGGCATTTACTATTTTTTTAAATAATCAAAGGAATGTCACTTTCTTTTAGGTAACTGCTCCAATGATGGCAACCATGTGAACCTACTAGAGATTACTAATCCCCGACGTTGGCCTGGTCCGAGACAGTATGTGACCCCAGACTTGGCCTGTAGTAGTAACTGATGTTTCTCTGGCCACAGTGGCCTGAGCTAGATCAGCCAAAAAACTTGTTCCTAACTGCAGTTAGAGAAGATGGATTTGCCTCTTGGGTCATAAACTAAAATTAATTGTGTCTCTATTTGTGCATTTGAGTTACTTCTGTGCTTTTAAAAAAAATTTTCTTGTTTGTTTTATAAACAACACTGCAGAGATATCCTTGTTCATACAGGACATCTATGGGAGAACAAACCTGCTCGAACAGAATTACAGTTTTCATTTAAATGTGTTAGTTTTAGTCTCATGTTGAGTATTCCTTTTTTATTCTAGGTTTCTGTACAAGATGAACTAGTTCAAGTGCAGCCAAAATTTAAAAGTAATCTGCTTGAGTCTGTGGAAGTTTTTCGTGAGGATGTAATGAACTTTGCAGAAGCATATGAGTCGGTAATTTAAGTATTTACATGCTCTGTGTTAAAATGTCCTGTGCTGTGTTCACATGAGATGCAAGTAATGAAATCTAAGAAATACACTGTGATTTATACATTTTATATGAGTGGTTATATTTGCATATTTGCAGTTATAAATAAAAGGGGGGATGGTAGCTAGTCCTTTAAGTGTGTTTTTATAGAGGAAGAAAGAAGATTTAGCTGTTACAAAGAGTAATAACTTTTGAGATTGTGGAAGGAACAAAATGTTTTTGTCCTTCCTCAGAGCCAGATTCTCATAGCTGAAAAAGTAATGCAGTTGTTGGAAGGCTGTAAGAAGCTATAAACACCCTAATACCAGGGTATTATGCAACTGATTTTTTTTTTCACTCATTCTCAGAGAACCAAAAGGGTCTCATAAAATAAATAATAAATTTCATACTTAGTCAGTTCCACTGAATAGTCTCCCCAGACTATTCAGCCTGTTTCAGTGACCGCTAATGGCTGACCTCTTTTAGTTAAACTCAGAAGTTGGACATATTCCCCTAAAATGTTCTACTTTCTTTTAGTGATCACAGTGCATCTGGATTTACAGCCCTTGGTGCTACTCATATAACACTTTTTTATACATGCGGGAAACTTATTACCTCTTTTAGTTGGCTTAGGCAACTTTATTGGCACATCATTTCTATTATATTAGGAATCTGGTCCATTTAGCATATCCATAATATCACAATTGTACAGATCATTTGGGGCCCTTTTTGCAACTATTTTCTGGCTGACAGATGCCAGACTGCCTTTTGCCTCTTCCAAGTATTCAACCTGTGTGTCTGTCTGTATCCATATTGAGCTGAACAGTTAGTGAAAGGAGGCTGTTCTCAGAGCTCTGTCAGTTATTCTACTGCACAACCACAGCATCATCGTTTATAATCATAACAGCAATGAAATAGAGCTCTAGTGATTAAAGCTTCATACAGGAGGTAATTTTATCATTTTTTTAATTAACTATGTCAAGGTATTTTAAAATGAATGTAAGCTGGAGTGATGCAAATGTTTTAAAATTGATTGTAGTCATGGTTACACACCTCTGTGAATATACTAAAAACCACTGAATTATCCATTTTAAAAGGGAGATTGTATCATGTGAAATACATCTTCATAAAGCTGTTACAAAAAATAAATAAAAGCTTTATGTACAGGACAAAATTAGACCATTTGAATTAAAAATGTTCATTTATTTAAAAGGAAATAATAAAGCCAATAAATTGATAAATACATATGATTAAGAATTAAAATAAAGGTTATATTATTCATTACAGGAGGGACCTATGGTTCCAAATATACCACCCCAAGAAGCTAGCAATAGGCTACAGATATTTCAGGTAAAACTGCATTTTTTTGGTTATATTGACAATGTATTGTTATTCTTTAAAATGATTTCAGGGAAAAAACTTATGTGTTTTACCTTGCAATGGAAAAGTAAATGTTTAAAGTACATACAGATTTTAATTCTATTCTAATCTAAGTGATGTAATTAATTCCTTTTCTTATATCCCTTCATGCTCTTCTCTACAGAATATTACTCTGTGTTTTTAGAGAGCAAACTTAAGTGTATACCTTATTCTAGTCTTAAGCATCTCATTTGTATATAAAATGATTTAAAAAATTCATAGAATAATAAAATATGTTAAAATAAGAGTTTAAATACTAGCAAATGGTTTTCCTGACTTTCCTCTATAGCTGTTATTTTTCTTTCTTCTGCATCCATGACTTTAAACTTCCCAGCTCCTTTGTCCTACCTCAGTGTCATACATTGCTCATTGAATCATCTTTTTCATCACTGAGATGGCTGAGCATATCTAGAGAAAAGTCACACAGCCATTTGGGTTAATGTTTTGCAGATTCATGGATTCCTGTATAAGCTAGACCCTCAGGAGCATCAGGCAATGTTGTTATTTGTTCTGTTCTCTATCCTGTTTCCTACAGTGGCTATACTATATGTCTATGCACTCTTTATGACCCTATCCCTTCTGCATTCTTAGTCATTAAAAAAATACTTTTCAGACACCTACTATGTGTCTTGGTTGATAGAAAGTCGATTAAGAAAAGGTTCTTACCTATAAGCTGCTCAAATCCATTAGGGAGACAGAGAACTAGAATAGGTAATAACAAAACCATGCTGTGAGCACTATGATCTAGGTATGAGGGCTTGTGTTGTGGAAACAGATGTAAGGTGCTTCCAACCCAGATGGGTGCTGGCAGGTGAGGCAGAGAAGTCTTCCTGGAAGAGGAGGCATCTAAGCTAGGACTTGAAGGACTGATTAGGATTAGCCAGGGGAAGAAGGAGGGAAAACAAGCTGGGCCCAGCAATGAGGAGATAATCAGGGGGATTTCAGAAGCAGGAAGGTTTAGGGATCTGAAGAAGTGTGATGTGGGGTGCAGTGGGCACAGAGGGATAGTGGTGAGGGATGGCACCGGAGAGGGCAGAAGGCACTGACAGGAGGGCCTTGTGTACTGTGATCCAAGAGCTCATGGCCTTTCGGGAGGCATGGAGTGCTCCATTGCTCAAGAAGGGCATGATAGGATGAGATCTGAATTTTCAAAACAGCTGTGTTTTTAAGAGATTTCTCTGGCATTGGTGTGGGGAATAGTACAGAGGGAGTATGGTTAGACTGATGGCAGTTTCAATAATACAAGCAAGAAATTGTAATGAGTGGGCCCCAACAAGTGTACTTGGAATGAAACTGGATGGTTCATAAGTTTATGAAAGAGACTGACTTGATAGGCTTGAAGCCAGGGCTGAGGGGGAAAGGTCAAGGTTTTCAGCTTGGGCGAGTAGATGAGGGTAGAGCTCTTTGCTGAAGCACATATGTGGGAGGAGTAGTTTGGGGATTTGTTCAGATGACCTTGTCTCCAAATTTACAGACAAAATGTTGGTTCTGTGGTGCGGATTTCAGAAAAATGAGACCCCTCGCAGACCCAGGGGCCTCTGTATCTCTTGTCCCTTCTTAGGGACAGCCCTTTTCTCTCCTGTACTCCTAACCTCTTTATCTTTACTAAACCCTCCCAATCAGCATTTTAAAGGCTGTTTGTCTTTCCTTCTTAAAGTAACAACAATAAACATCTCTCTGTCCTGCACCCTACTCTAGATCTCACTTTTCCCTTTTCCTCACCCAGCCCAATTTCTGCCTGCCTTTATACTCAGGCAGCTTCCATGGCCACCCCACCAAGGAGGTACAGAGCTGCTGTACCCAAAACCAATGTTTTCTTCTTTACTAGGAACACCTAAGTTTCACAGCAATGCAAGCCATGTGAAGACTTTCTGTAATTTACACTTAGTTTTGCTGCACACTCAGTAGGTATTTCTGGTTCTCCTTTTACCTATCCGAGATTACTTCATAACCACCTGATAATTGGGTTTTTCACTTTTTGTCCCAAAGCAAATAAATGGAGGAGTGGAATCAGTAATCTTGTTCTCATTGCTTCATACATATGTTCCATAGGTGGTTCAGGCTGGTTCCATGCAGCCTTTTGCCAAAAAAGGTTCAATCAAGTTGAATGGTTATTTCAAGTTGCAGGTTTTCCTGGGAGTGGTAGGGATATTTCAGGCTTTTTACATTATAACCAACTGGAATTTCTCATATTTTACTTAACTTTCAAGTATCTCCCTTGAGTGTTTCAAAGTAGAAGATCTTTACCCTGGTAAGAAAAAGATTTCTCCAGGATCACTGGAGCAACCAGGAATTGCAGCTGGTCCATAGTGAAGAAACTTGTGCAAAGCAGATGAAGTCATCTGTCTAGAGCCCAGTGTGTGTGCTGGTTCCAGGGAGGGTAGGTCTAGGCCAGTAACTCTTGTGGATTGCTACAAGGTAGGTTACATGTGCTGACAAGGATTTTCATGGGAAGCAGGAAACACAAGTCCTTCACTTAAACATGATGTCCTCAGACCAAGTCCCTCATTGTTGTCAGAGTTCTCACTCCAGAACTGTGATTGTTACTCTTGGACTAAAACCAGCTCCTTTGTGCTGGACCCTGGAGGAAGCTCTGATCCTTTGCTATCTGAAGTCCTCGAATTTGGACCCAGGATCCCAGGGAAAGGTCTCTGTCTCTGGAGGAGCCAGGCCTAAGGCCGATCTGCTCACCTGGTGGCTGCTAGCTGAGCCAAGTGGAAGCCTTCAGCAGTAAAAGCAAGATAAATAATGAAAACAGATAGTACTGTTGGGTGGTGGTAAGGGCCAAGGGAAAAAATACAGCATGGCAAGGGCATAGAGCACTGGCCTGTACGTATGTGGAGTGGGGTGGAAATCTAAAATACTGCCTTCAGAGAAGGTCTCCTTGAGAAGGTGACATTTGTTGAGCCAGGCAGTGTCTGGAGGAGCGAATTTCCAGATGGTGGTTAGAGCAAGTGCAGAGGCCCTGGGTAAGAGCATTTATGGGAAATAATAAGGAGGTCAGTGTAGCTGGAGCAGCATGAGCAAGGAGGGAGTACTAGCAGTGAGGCCAGAGGGGTAGGGAGGGGACAGGCTGGTGAAGCCTTGCCAGCCCCGGGGAAGGCCCTGGCCTTGGTTCTGAGTGAGAAGACTGACCTGATCTCACTGATGTTTGTGATGAATCACTAGGGCTGCTGTGTTGAGAACAGATTATTGGCAGTCAAGGATAGAAACAGGGAGACTCATTAGGAGGGTATTGCAGTAATCCAGGTGAGAGGTGATAGTACCTTGAACCCAGAGTGGTGGCATTGGATCTGATGAGGAGATGGAGCCCAGGTATATTTTGAAGACCCAGTCCTTGTTTTTCCCTCAGGGGTTACCAATTTCTTGGTCAGCAGCTGGGACTTTGATGTGCCACTTTTTTTTTTTTTTACCAGGGGTGTGGCACTCCATTGAAAAGACAACGCAGGGCCTGTCTCTTGTCTTCTTGTACCTTCTGTTTTGCCTATGCCTTCGGCTGAGCTGAGCCAGCCATTTGTCATGCATCTGGCTGGATATGTGACTTGCCGTCATATTTGCAGATCCAACTCATCTCAAAAGCACGTGCCCCCCTTTGCCCTCCAAAAAATCAGGCAGTTGCCAAGATCTAGATCTGGGGAAGAAGCAGGCATCTCACCGTGGGCCTCAGGTCCCAGCGGTGTTCTCTGATGCAACTTGACTCAGATGTTGGGAGTTTTGAGCACTCAGCTGGCCTGCTCAAAGCTGATGTCTTGTTCCACATCTGGCTGGTGCTGTGGTACTTTTTCATTTTAGTTGGGACCTGAATGGAAAAATGAGTGATTGGCATCCATCAGGAGCCTTCATCACATTAGCAAGATTTTAAATGTCATTATTTTAATATATGATAACTTTGAATTTTTTGTTACTCCTTTCCTAATGTTCACATAGTGCCATGGACTCCATTCAGTAATGTATTGAGTAACCACTATACTAACCACCAAGGAATATAAAAAGTGCAAAATAAGGCCCTTGCCCTCTAGGAACTGAGAATCCTTTGGAGTTCCTTCAGGGTCTCCACACCTTCCTGATTTGGCTTCTGTAAAATGTGCTCATGTGTCTATCAGATCTGTATTTACTATCTGAGCATTGTGAATCTGATACCAGATATTTCCAGGGCTGGGAATTTAGGTTCTTCTTGATATGTTAACCCTTCATGTAAAGCACACATATTGTGTCACAGATGGATTATTTCTGTTTGCTTTGCTTTTGAGTTTTAAACACTGTTAATACTTAGCATTCTAAGTGTGGGAGATTCAAATCCCAATTCAAAAACCATGTGCTTTATCTTTCCTGATTTAAATTGTTAGAATTATTTCAAATGGTTTTAAAATGGAATCCTTCATTTCATAGACTACTGCTTGAAGAGAAAACACGGTTGAATGGATTATACAACACTTCACTCATTTGAACACTGTAGGAGAGATGACTGGTTTGAATTAATTTGTAAAAGCCTGGATTATAGATTTTTTTTAAATGCAGTTTTATCACTTTCAGATGTATTTATGGGAACTTGAAATATAGGTCATCTGGGGGCCACTTAATATATTAAACAAATAATTTTATATAAACTGGATGCTTTTAGAAGGCTTGAAAGTTAATTTTCTTAAGTGCTTAACTTTTCCTCTGATAGCTTGGTATCAGTATAAATTTGCTTCACAAATCCTTATTTCCTAGATGTTATTAAATAAACCTCAATGTAGCTTTTATTCTGATTATAGTAAATTGTCCCTTAATGGAGTCTGAATTAATTATATTTCACTACAACCTAAAAACCTTTTTATAGGCCAATTTTGATGATCTGTGGAGGAAATTTGTTACATACTCCTCTGGTGAACAACTTTTCGGATTGCCTGTGACTGACTATGAGATTTTACACAAAACCAGGTAAAGTTAGAAATTGTATGAGTATTACATGCAAATAATTAAATACTGACCATTAGAAGAATCATGTCATTATTAAATCTTTTATCATGCATTTTATCTCTGCCTCAGGGAACTCCTAAATATTCTCCTTATTCTTGGCTGTTTCTGATCCACTGGACACATATTCTTCACATACCAAATAAACGTTCTAGGGAAGTAGAAAATACAGTCCAAAAATTCTGGTGTTCAAGGCATATATTTAGTCTATACTCAATTTTTTTCTTTTCTCTGTTTTTGAATAGTGTCAGTGATGGTTCACAAGCATGGAAATTTTGCATACCTTTTGTGTACTAGAGGAATAGCCATCCTTGGCCCTTGAACCCTTCTACTGCCTTTATGCTAAGTGCTCCTCCCTATTGGATACGCAGAGAACTCACTGAGAACGGAAGACCAAGGAAGTTAGTTGATTCTAAAGAGTAACATTTGATTTTAAACAATAATCTAGTTTTAGACAAGTATATTTTAATAGAATTTTAAACATACTTCCCTCAAAGGCAAAATTGTACAGTGGTATTAGCTGATAAAGATCTTATTTTTAGAAAAGAACATAGTTGGGTCCTTTCAAAGTCACAGCATGAAAATATATTGGCAAAATAGACATGAAATTGTCTGAAGAAAAATTAATGCTTCAGTCATTTAGAGTAGATAGTTTCTATTCTTTTAACCAAGAAGTTATTCTCCAAGCTTAACCCAGAGACTAACTGTGTTAGAATTGCAATGTCTGGTTCTTGCCCCTGATTTACTGAATAAGAATCTTGGGATTGGGTGTTAGAGAATCTCTATTTTTATTAATTCTCCAGTTAATTCTCTTGCACACTCAGTCTGAGACCCAGTGGCTTCTCTAGGTATTCTAGGAAAAATAATCATCCTTATTTACCATTTGAGCCAGTGGACCTTTAAATTTTTTTATATTTTTAAGTAATTTATGAATAATTTACAAAAGTAAGAATAAAGGAATGGTGACAAGCAATTTTATTAGAAAACGTAATAAAAATTTAAGCAGGAAAAAAAACTACTTTTACTCCATAATATCCTGGTTTGAAGATATGTAAGTATATTGCAATTCCCACTTGTCCAACACCAAATGCAGTGGTGTTTTTTTTCCCTACACATATATATAACACTATATAACATATAACAATATTTTGCACAGCAGTAATAGTAGTATAACTTCATTTGGGTTACCGGACCTGATTTCAATGTGTGTAAGTATGTGGGAGGGGGTCTTTGCACACATACTTACACCAAGCAATTTTCAAACCCCAGCAGGGTGTTGGAGAACTCAATTCTGATGCTACCTGCCTGGAGAGCACCAGATTCCCAGGCTAAGGGCTCCATCCAGAAGACTGCCCTCCAGCCCCCACTCCAGACACCAGTTGCAAGCCCTAGGCAGTTACCTGTGAGCCTGTGACCTGCCTGCTACATATGGGAGGTTCCCACTATCTCCCCCTTAGATTTGATTAATTCGCTAGAGTGGCCCTCAGAACTCAGGAAAACACTTAAGTTTACCAGTTTAATAAAGAATGCTGTAAAGAATACAAGTTAACAGCCAGGTGATGAGAGACATAGGGCAAGGTCCCATCCCACAAATAAAGAAGCTTCTATGCTCATGGAGCTTGGGGCCTGGCTCTGTGGCCCATGGAGGAATTCTGATTCCCAAGCATAGAAGCTCTCCCCGACAGAAGCAGGGTCCAACCAAGCACAGCAGGCAGAGAAGAGCAGAGCACAGAGAGATCAAAAAGCTCTTCTAATGGGTTTTGTGAGGGCTTCATTGCATAGTCATGGTTGACTAAATTATTAGCCATTGGCTGAGTCAGCCTTCAGTCCCTGCCCATGGGTGGGGGTGTCCAAAAGTCACATTAACATGACAAAACACCTATTTTCACCTTTAAGACTCTGCAGTGTTTTCAGGAACTGTGAATGAAGACCAAATATACCTGGGAAATATGTATTTGGTCACATGAATGATCAACTATGTATTTCTTATAACTCATTATATCGCATATATATATATGCACACACATGAAATGGAGACTGACTTTTGAATGCAGCCAGCTACCCATCAGCCGTCATGTATGAGCCTGGACAATACCTATGTTGTAAACCCAAATTCCAGATTTCAGATCCATATCCAACAGCTTCTAGCTTACCATTACTTCTGATTTTTCTTGCATTTAACATTGTTAAAACTCAACACTGTTGAAAACTCTGACTCATAATTTTGTTGAAGAGAGGAACACCATCTTCTCTGCACCATAAATACAAAAATCTTTACTTTTAGATTTGAATGATCAAGTCAATGACATTTTTTCATTTCTGCATGTGTTGCCTTTGACATTTATCTTTTTATGGAATGTATCAAGTAAAACTTACCCAAACATCCATAATAATGAAAGAACAGTATCACCTTTTTCACAAAAGGGGATAGTCTAGGTTCTTGTTGCAAAATAATTGCATGATGAAGCCCTTGCCTCTATTGGAATACATTATTCATTCAAGAATTATTGAGTTTAATGAAATTCATATAGGTTATCATCATCTAAAGACTCATAGTTTGAGATCTCAGCTATGCCATTAGTTTCGCTATCAAAATTAAAAGTCTAGAGTGCAGCTTTCTGTCTGTTTTCTGTTTAATATTTGAGAAGCACCTTTCTTTATCAGTTTTCTTCTTTTTGCTATTTTAGGTAGAAAATGAAAAATTCTGTATTAACTGCAGTAAGTGAAAGTTAAATAAGCAAAAATCAAAAGGCTACAGAAATGGTGCCTCCAGAATTCATTTTTTATGCTTTCTTGAAAGATGATGTGATACTTTGGGCAACACAATAAGAAACTTGAAGGATGATGCAATAGTGATTAATTTTTTCAGTATTGCATCATCATTATGAGAGATTTCCTCATTTTCTCTTATTATTTTAGTCATTCTTAGCATAGTTGGGAGTAAACAGTGATTAATAATGAAATATTAGAATGGTGAATTAGCAAGTGAAACAACTGGAAAAACAAGATAACTAAGATTCCAGAATATGTCTTAGATTTATAAGAGGGTCCAGTGCTCTCAAATGATAATTTCAAGAAAGGATGAGTTTTACTCCATTAAAAACAAGCAGATTGCATCTTGGATCTCTGGATTATCTACATAATAAATAATAAAAGTTGTGAATATCAATCTTATAAATACAATTATTCAAGAAATAAACTCAAAGTAATATTGGTTTGCTAAGGGTTGAAGAACTGGGAGAATTCACAAACTTTATCGAATGGTCAGTTTTTGGGGTTTTACATGATAAAGAACTTTTCCTTTATTTGGAACTGGACTCTCTCCTCTTATTTTAGTTTTCAATATAACTCTATTTGGGCTCATGAAGGAAAGTTCTTGGTAGGAAGGTGATGTTTAAAGTCACACTTTAAGGCAGTTGTTCTCATAAAAATGCAGCTTACATTTGAAAGAATGCAATCAAATAAAGGCTACTTAGCTTTGACCTCATTTTGGTCACATTGTTTGCAATGATTGGTGTGATAATAATCATCACACCATCTGTTAACGTCTAGTATGATTTGGAATATTTTACAGATGTAAACTTGACCTAATTTATGGAGCTTCAATAAAGTCTTTGTTTAGAAACTGAGGATTGTATGCATGTTGGTGTCTGTAAGACTATATATAATGTATGAAATATTTGATTGGGTGAATTCTGCCTCTCCAGTAATGGAATTTATTTTTGAAATATACATTAAGTAATAACTTAATTGTGTGGTTTCCCAGAAAGGAACTCAACTTGCTGCAGAAGCTGTATGGATTGTATGATACTGTAATGGGCAATATTAGTGGCTATTATGAAATACTCTGGGGAGATGTAGACATTGAAAAAATTAATGCAGAACTACAGGAATTTCAGAATAGGTGAGTTTCAACTGAACTAAGCTTACCTTTTTATAGTGCCTATATTCTTAGGGTCCTACAAGTATTTCACAAACTTATCCTCTGATATATTGCTGTGTATAAATAATACTTTCTTCAAAAAAATGTGTAGGTGAAATAATTATTTTTCTTTTTTTCTGAAAGATGTCGTAAACTTCCAAAAGGACTTAAAGGTTGGCAAGCTTTTTTGGATCTGAAAAAAAGAATTGATGATTTCAGCGAGTCATGTCCTCTGCTAGAAATGATGACCAATAAGGCAATGAAACAGAGACACTGGGATCGAATCACCGAGTTAACTGGGACTCCGTTTGATGTGGAATCTGATTCTTTTTGTCTTCGAAATATTATGGAAGCACCACTCCTTACACATAAGAATGACATTGAGGTACATAAGATTATAAAGTCTTATCAACGACCCATTAAAGAATGTCTCCTTTTCTGTTCTGAACATCGCACAGGCATTTTATTCAAGGGAGTACCAACTGCCCTGTGTAATGCACCCTCAAAAATTGGAGTGATCCTGAACATCCCTTGGTTTTGCAAAATGATGCTGTAATTCAAGGAGATAATATGATTATTTGAAATATGTTAGTTTTGGAGCCCCTCCACCTATCCTTCCTTGTCCTTTAACTATACTTCCACTTTTAAAAAATATTTATTTATAATGATATATGTTTATTTCTATTTTGTGTCCTTCCTGAATTCCTCAGAACATTTTCCAAATTTCTAATTCTATACTTTTCCTCTAAATATTTAAAACTACTGTATTTTTTTCCCAAGATTTTCAATTGGTTCTTTTGCCTTTTTTTTAGTGCTTAGTGTTTATAGTGAGTCTTGATGGAATGGCCTCACGTAGGACATGAACCTTATTATTCAACTCTGCCCTAGCTTTTGGTTGTGTCTCTTACTTTTGTGGAAGTCCAAGCAGTCTACTGTATTCTTAGTTGCTCCTAGTAATTAGGATGTGCCAAGATCTGTCAGTGTCCCAAAGTGGAGGAGCCAATTAGCACATAGATTCAGGCTGATTGGATACCAAATCCTCAGGTAGCAGCTTTTAAAGTATGCAAATATATATCTTTTCAAGGGAACACTGTGAGATGGGCAATTCTGGCTCTTCCTTCTGCACTGAACCCTGGGGTGTTAGCCGGTTAAGAACTACTTCTTTCTTGCCCCATCCCATTGAATCCATGGACACAAGCCCCCCTGGCCACCAGAATCAGGCCATCGAGGGGTGTATCCTGGCAGCGACGCATGCTGAGCACCAGTTGTGAACATGCGCTCTTTCTTGTAGACACTGGTGTTCTGGAGCAGGGCAGACGAGAGTGCAAAGTCGCTATCCCCTACCAAGGTCTCTGGAGAGGATTACAGTTGGCCCTTCAGTGTGTGTTTAATTAGAAGCCTGCCTCCCAGGTCACCGCTCCCTCGTGTATGAAGATAAGCTGATATCCCTCTTTCACAGAAAGATTGGGCATTTCAGTCTGCTGCCTCTCTGCTGTGCCTTGAGAATGTCCTATTATGAACTCTTTCCCCATTTGCACAGTCCTATGGCACCCTCAAACATAAGCCCCTCTTGCCACCAGAGTCAGGTGATCAAGAGGGATCCCCTGGGTGGCAGCTGCAAAAAAAAAAAAAAAAGAAATTTGTCACCCAATGTGTGCACAAGTGTCCTTTTGGGAGATACAAGTGGCCTGGAGTGAGGCAGAGGGAGAGCACAACAATGGTGCCCACCAGCCTCTGTCTTCATGGAGTGTTGCAGTCGCCCTGGTGTTAAATTAGATGCCTGCCCGACAGGCTGCAGCTTAACGATAAGCATATAGGTTTATTTCACAGAAAGACTGGGCGCTTCTCAGCCATCCACCTCTGTGCTGGACCTTGGGGTGTAGCCGGATGAGTCCACACATACCCTTTCAAAACTAAATGTTTTGGGGCTCATCTTCTAGGTGCAGATTTTTATATATTTTATATATTCTCAAACCTGGTAAATCTCAAAACTATAGAGTTCTTCATTTGTCTCTTTTAAGGCCCCTAAAACAATTATTTTTAAGTTTTTTATTATGGAAATTTTCAAACAAAAGTAGAGATCCTCTTGCTTCAACAACTATCAACTCATGGCCAATGCTGTTTCATCTATACCTGCCATACTCCAACAGACCCAGATTAAACATCGTTCAATATTTTTTTCCATATTTCTGTAAAATTAATTTCACTTGGACAGAGTTTTTGCTCTCACAGTTTTTTAATGTTGGCTATCCCTCTGAGTATTCAGTATTTTTCATAGGCTTTGAATTTCTATTTTTGAGGGAACTCATTTTGAATGGTAAACTTTTTTTAAAAATGTGGCTTTTATAATTTGTTAGAACTGTTTCTCTTCTTCTGCATCTCAACCTTCCTTGTCTGGTGGTCTCCTGGTTTCTCTCCCCACCCACTCCCCATCTCTTCTTTCCCCCAAGTTCAGAGCCAGGTGTTAAAACAGCAGTTTATGTCCCCTTTCAGCCATGGTGTGGCAGAGCAAGACACAGCTGACCTGTTTCAGGTGCTGGTTGTGGGGTTGGGTCCGTGTCACCCCATCCCCCCAGTCCACAGCTTCATATAATCTGGATGCCCAGGGGGCAGCTGGAGGTGGCCTCTTTCCCCAGTGGAGGGATCCAGATGCTAGCCCTGGGACTCCCTTGCTTTCCGTCTTCCCTGTCTCACAGGACCCAGGCTCGCTGCCCCCACCCTCCCGCTGACCACAGCCCTAAGCCTGGGCGTCAGCTCCACCTGCTGGTTTGCACATCTTTTCCACTTCTGGTTCATGGAGATGTTTATCTTGTTCTTAAGCCTGGCTGTGTTTGTTTTTGATTTTTTCTTTTTGTATTTTATCCATTATCTTGTTTTTGGAGGTGAGGAACTGCACCACCTGACCAGAAATCTCCCATATATATGGTTTTGGGTTTTCTGCCTCCCCCTTGCCTTTTTTTTTTCTTTCACTTATTATTTTTTTAATAATGATGTCATTGATATACATACAACCTTATGCTCAGATTTCACATGAGCAACATTGTAGTTACTACATTCACCCATATTGTCAAGTCCCCCCAACACACCCCATTGCAGTTACTGTCCATCAGCGTAGTAAGATGCTATAGAGTCGCTACTTGTCTTCTCTGTCCCTTACCTCTTTTTAACAACATATGTACACAAGAAGTTTTATTTTCAAAGCATTTTTTTGTCCTATTTATAAATGTCATTCAAATACTATTGCAGGAAACAGAAAAAAAAAGCCTTTGGTGACCATCTCATTCTTATAAATAGATTTTTACATTTCAGAATACAGCCATTCATAGGCTATGCTTTGTGAATTTCATTTTACAATTCCAAAGAATTCTAGGATTCATTTATTAACTATTTGTACCCCAAAACAGATTCTGTGTCATCACCCCCAGTATATCCTGTTTGCTCTGCCCCACACGCCCTGCTTTTAGCCAAGCTGAATGCCTACTGTTACCGGATTCACTGCCTCTAAAGGAAACCCTTTCCCTCCTTACAGAAATGTCCTCCCCGCCGCACCCGTTAGACTCCCACTTACTCCCATTGTTCCCTCCTAAGTGAAGCCTTTCCTCCTGACTGCAAGCAGGCTTCATTGCTCCCTCCTCAGAACTCACAACAGTTTATCCCACTCATACAACATTGAGCACATGCTGATTTGTACTATAATCATTGGAAATACCGTGTACCTTTAAATTCCTTTCCATGTCTGAGATTCCAAGTATGAAAATAAGTTGAGCCATCGTGAGGAAAATACCTTACTTTTATTTTCTCTTGTGAGGCTTTTCTCTCAAGGATTCTCAAAAAAACAGGAAAACTTGTAAGAAAAAAATAGAATTGACTTTTAAGCAAATGAGATGTTGCATTAGGGCCAGAACAAGCAGGAATATAGCAATATTTATACATTACTTTAGAAACTCCAAGTGACTCTCACATATATTCTCTTTTGCTTCTCATGGCAAACCACTGGGATAGAGCAAATACGATTATCTCCATTTTGTCCAAAAAAACTCCAGTTAAAAATATAATGATTTTTATATTTACATTTTTTTACAAGAAACACAGTGATCTCAAGTTTTGGTTTTCTTGGCCATAAAATGATTAAATGACTCAGTCAAGCTAAAAAATTCTATGATTTTACAGTGGACTTAGTTGGTAATTGAAAATGTCGTGATGTAAGCTTTGATTTCCCTCTGAAGGATATTTGCATATCTGCCATTAAGGAGAAGGATATTGAAGCCAAGCTGACTCAGGTGATTGAGAACTGGACCAGCCAAAGTCTGAGTTTTGCAGCATTTAAGGGAAAGGGAGAGCTCCTGCTCAAAGGGACCGAATCAGGAGAAATTATCACTTTGTTGGAGGACAGTTTAATGGTCTTAGGATCCTTACTAAGCAACAGGTAATGTTCTAGGTTGGGGGTGATGGTTTTCATTTGGTATTTAGGATTCCATAATATGAAGTAAAAGCCCAGTTTTGCAGCTGTGGCGTAATGCAAGATTCTGCCATAATGTGCTAACTCTTGTCTGTCCTTACATGAGTTACTATGTTCCCTAGTAATCATGGCCTCCATCTCTCCTTTTATGGTATTCATCTCCCCTTCCTGTTTTTCCTGGTGGGCTACATCATAATCATTGTGCCCCAAGTCAGCAGCTTATCTCCTGAGCATCTTGGCTCCTCAGTGAGATGAGCTCTTCATCTTATCTTCTCTTTCATTCCCCTGATTCGTCGTCCTCGTCCTCCTTGGCTAAACCTGCCCCAGTGTTCACCCAGTGGTCCAGGAAAAGTATGCTGGCAGCACATGAATGTACTGTTAGGGGCTTGGCACTTAGACACGTGCATTGTTTATGGTGAACAGTGGCATCCTGTGCTGGGTCCACTCTGGCCTCAGTGAGGCAACCACCTTGAAGGTGACTGTGATGTCAGGTGCAGCTTTAGGAAATGGGATTCAGATTACATATCCTGCCAGGTCTTGGTCTGGGCATTAGCATCGTCTAATCCTCCAGCTGACTATGCAGCAATTCCCAATTGTTCTTCATCTAACACACCTAAGAAATAGGTCACAACCCCATCATTGACAGAGGGCAATGTCTAGGGTGCATGTGGATTCTTACACATCTCCAGGTTGGGATTGCTGGTTAATGAATGGTATCCTGCATGACCTCTGACCCCAGTATTGTCTTTGGATAAGTACTAATCCTCAAAGCTGCTAGTTCCAGGAGTTCTGGGCTGAACTTGCTGGGGTTAAGATCCTAGGGTGCAACTGCTGCATTCAGGAAATCTGAATAATCCTGGCAGAGGTCATCAATGCAGTGGTTCCTAGTCTTCATAGGCTATTACTTCCCCATGGTTCATTGCAGATTTTCCATCCTGATGCCCTGAATGAACACCTCTTGAAGTAGGGCTGTAGATTCACCTGAATAATGACTGTGGCCAAGGAATCCAGGATTTGAAGCCTTTCTTAATTTCATACTTAACTTCCTTATAACCAAATTAGTATAGTACTTATTTATAGTCCTAGTAAATACAAGGTGGAGGCCTTACTAGAAAGAGTGTAAGACTATCTAAGAAATCTCCTCCTGGAGAACTTTGCAGCACCAACTGGATCCTGAAAGCCTCCTCCAGGACTAAGCACAGGTTGATCTTGTAGCAAGCAGTGCCTGCTAGATGTGACTTAAGAAGGAAATTGTGTATCTACGTAGGTGACACTTGACTCCAGGTATTGCCTGAATTGTGACACTCTCCTTGTGGATCCCTGATTCCATAGGCCTTCGTATTTGTCGTGACAGGCTCCACAGCTCAGAGTTGCACAATGCAGGTACCTAGCCAAAGGATAGAAACTGGTTATGCTAGGTTTTATTTCAGATCTCCCTTTTCATGTTGGAAAATTGTACACCATTGAAGATTTTCTCTGTGCAGGACCATTTTTGGCCCCAAATACCTAGGTGCTTTGGCACCCTGAAATAACCATCCATTATATCTTAGCCTGCATGTCTCTATTCTGAAGGTACTTTTGGCATTTTGATTGCCTTTAAGCTCTAAACCAATGGCCAGATGGCCAGTAAAAAGTGGGTGCTGGGAAAAATGCTTCTTACTGCCTTAACAACTCACCTACCTCCTTGGGGCAATTTTTTCACAACTCCCTTTATTCCTCCATGTATAACATAGGTTTCCAGAGAAGTTATGGGTTGCACTCAGGCATTGGACTATACTTAGAAGAAACCCATTCTATATGTGAGCACCTTCAAGTCATCCTGTTCTGGATCAAGAAAAGTTTTAAGACGTTACCCAACAAGTGCCACTCACTAGGAAATGCCAGTACATCAAAATTACTTGCCATTTCAAAAAACAGAATTCAGCTTCTTAGTCCAGCTGTAGGTAATCAGGTCTTCACCCAGTATCTTCGCACCACTTCATGGCATCTACTCTGTTTCTTGTCTTTCTTAGGTGTGTCTAGTTTCCTGGACACCTTGTATTCTTATGAATACTTCCGCTAGCCCTGATGATGAGAAAACAGGAACTGTGCTCTTTTGGGGTTGCTATCCTGGATCTCCAACATTGCAGAATCTAGGTGCAGTGCCTGGTGGCATTAGCAGTCGAAGGACAGAAAGAGTACATTGATTAGTGGACATCAGACCTCAATCATGACCCTGGCCTGGTGGAAATAGTTCCATTGACCAGTGAGAAACAGTGCCCTGTGTGTTATTCCCGCAGCAGTCTCCATGTGGATTTGGTGCACAGAAGTCTTAGAAAACCATTTTACTCCTAGGAACAACTGGCATAGTTCCTTTGCCAGTGGCATGAATGTTGGCTTATTTTCCTAGTTTATGACTGGTATATGGAAACAATAAGTGAAATCACTATAATTATATGAGTGTTACTCATAAAAAGCAAAGTCTCACTAGCTGTATGAAATTTATTAGGAACTACCCTCTAGGAAAAATGTTCATTTCCAAAGAAAAGTTTCTTCTGTAATTTACTTTGTTTGGCCATACCATTTTCTGAATCTTCCTTAAATGTCATGTTTTTCCATTTTTGCTTTTTAGATATAATGTGCCATTTAAGAAAAACATCCAGAATTGGGTGTATAAATTGTCCACTTCCTCAGATATAATTGAAGAGTGGCTAGTAGTCCAGAACCTTTGGGTTTATCTTGAAGCTGTCTTTGTAGGTGGAGATATTGCCAAACAGCTACCTCAGGTAAATGCAGTTTTTATAACTACTGATAGAATAATTTGTTGTGTATTCTCTATATGTCTCTGTAGATCTTCATAAAGATGTATGTTCATGTGTTGGTTATTTACACCAGAGGTTGCCAAACTGTGGCCCACTCGCCTCTTTTTGTACAAAGTTTTATTGAAACACAGCCATGTCATTCATCAGTGTTCTGTCTATGGCTGCTTTAGCGCTGCAATAGCAGAGTTGCGCAGTTGTAACAGAGACCATATGGCCTTCCAAAGCCGAAAATATTAACTATCTGGCCCTTTACAAAGTAAGTTAACAAGAAGTGCTGACTTTGGTTTACATTATCAGAAAGAAGAAACTCATGTTTTCAGATCTCTAGGTTGGCTGAAGATGTGAGGTACATTCAAGTATGGTACTATTAAATTATAGTATTCATCTTTTCCAAACATTAACCTTATACTATTTCTCTGAGAGTAGAATCAATATTAATCTGTATTCTCTAAACACAAATTAACTATTAGTAAGTTCACTAATAGTAGATCAGCAACATTCTGTGGGGCAAGGAAATTTAGCCTTAAGAAGCCTGTAACAAAATCTTTAAAACAGCTTTACTGGGGATTTTTAAATAAATGCCAGTAACTTAATAAGAGCTTTATTCTATGAAGGTAACTTTCTTCTTATAAAATTAAGCCTTCTCTTCCTGAATTTCCATACCTACAGGTTTTATGTAGGTTAAAAATAAAGAAAAATGATGGATTTCCCTGTGTCACACATTTTTTTAAACATAAATCTTTTCTTTTTTAATCAGAAAGTTGAAATTGTTTTAAGAAAAATGCATATAAAAGTTTTAAAAGAGTCAAGATTATGCCAGTTTCTAGGGACATTTTTGCAAATGACTATAAAACTTAATATCATTCATAGTAAATAGAAAATTTTCATTTGCAAAAATATAAATGAAGCTTTGTTTTGGGTTTTTACTGTTTCTGTTTTTTTCCTGGGATACTGTTGAGCTGTACTTATTCCAAGGATCCTGAGATCAAATTATTTTCATACTTCTTCAGCTTGCTCATCAAACCAAACATCTGGGGGACTAAGAGACTAGATTTGAGCTTTAAGTCGATAGCTCTGCAAATTAATCATGTGGCACTTTGAAAAATATATTAAATGTAAAGAAACAAACAAGTGATAAACCCCATTGTGATAAAGCAATATTTCAATATGTAGTTTTGTGACTTTGGCTTTTTGTTGTTCATAATTAATTCAGATGAATTATGTAGCCTAAGACTAACAGAGGCTGGTTTGAAGAAATAGAGGAAATTCAAAAGTGAAGACTTTGCTTTATTCACTTATCCAAATGCTAATTTTTACTGACTGTGGAGTTGTTTTTAGGAAGCAAAACGTTTTCAGAATATTGACAAATCATGGATAAAGATAATGCAGCGAGCTCATGAGAACCCCAATGTGATTAGTTGCTGTGTTGGAGATGAAACCATGGGGCAACTTTTACCTCATTTGCACGAACAGTTGGAAGTATGTCAGAAGTCACTTACAGGGTGAGTTTAATTTGTAAACTACCTATCATTCACTTCATTTTTTTATTGTATGTAGGGTTTTATTAGAATCTGATAGTGATAGGGAAAGGCCTATAGGTTAAAAATTCATCAGGAGGTTCAAATAACTGCCCTACTCTTCTTTCCCCAAACACTGATCTTTTTTTTATTAAGGTATTATTGATATGCACTCTTATGAATGTTTCACATGAAAAACAATATGGTTATTACATTCCCCCGTAGTATCAAGTCCCCACCCATATCCCATTGCAGTCACTGTCCATCAGTGTAGTAAGATGCCACAGATTGACTTATTTGCCTTCTCTGTGCTGCCCTGTCTTCCCCGTCAGCCACCACACCATGTGTACTAAATATAATACCCACCAATCCCCTTGTCTTTCCTTCTCCACCCACCCTCCCAAAGCCCTCCCCTTTGGTAACCGCTAGTCCCTTCTTGGAGTCTGTGAGTCTGCTGCTGTTTTGTTCCTTCAGTTTTGCTTCGTTGTTATACTCCGCAAATGAGGGAAATCATTTGGCATTTGTCTTTCTTCACCTGGATAATTTCACTGAGCATAATATCCTCCAGTTCCATCCATGTTGTTGCAAATGGTAGGAGTTGTTTCTTTCTTATGGCTGAATAGTATTCCATTATGTATATGTACATGTACCATGTCTTCTTTATCCATTCATCTACTGATGGACACTTAGGTTACTTCCATATCTTGGCTATTGTAAATAGTGCTTTAATAAATATAGGGGTGCATATGTCTTTTTGAGTCTGAGAAGTTGTATTCTTTGGGTAAATTCCAAGGAGTGGGATTGTCAGGTCAAATGGTATTTCTATTTTTAGGTTTTTTTTTGAGGAACCTCCATATTGCTCTCCACAATGGTTTAACTAGCTTATATTCCCACCAGCCGTGTAGGAGGGTTCCCCTTTCTCCGCATCCTCACCAGCATTTGTTGTTCTTAGTCTTTTCAATGCTGGCTATCCTAATTGATGTGAGGTGATATCTCATTGTGGTTTCCTGATGATTAGTGATGTGGAGCATCTTTTCATCTGCCTGTTGGCCATCTGAATTTCTTCTTTGGAGAATTGTCTCTTCAAATCCTCCACCCATTTTTTAATTGGGTTATTTGCTTTTTGGCTGTTGAGGTGTGTGAGTTCTTTATATATTTTGGATGTTAACCCCTTGTTGGATATGTAATTTACAAAAATATCCTCCCATACTGTAGGATACCTTTTTGTTCTGCTGATGTGTCCTTTGCCATACAGAAACTTTTCAGTTTGATGTAGTCCCATGTGTTAATTTTTGCTTTTATTTCCCTTGCTCAAGGAGATGTGTACAGGAAGAAGTTGTTCATGTTTATATTCAGGAGATTTTTGCTTATGTTTTCTTCTAAGAGTTTTATGGTATGACTTACATTCAGGCCTTTGATCCATTTCAAGTTTACTTTTGTGCATGGGGTTAGGCAGTGATCCAGTTTCATTCTCTTGCATGTAGCTGTCCAGTTTTGCCAACGCCAGTTTTTGAAGAGGCTGTCATTTCCCCATTGTATGTCCATAGCTCCTTTATCATATATTAATTGACCATATATAGTTGGGTTTATATCTGGGCTCTTGAGTCTGTTCCGTTGGTCTATGGGTCTGTTCTTGTGCCAGAACCAAATTGTCTTGATTACTGTGGCTTTGTAGTAGAGCTTGAAGTCAGGGAGGGTGATCCCCCTGCTTCATTCTTCCTTCTCAGGATTGCTTTGGCTATTCGGGGTCTTTTGTGGTTCCACATGAATTTTAGAATGATTTACTCTAATTCATTGAAGAATGCTGTTGGTATTTTGATAGGAATTACATTGAATCTGTAAATTGCTTTAGGCAGCTTGGCCATTTTAACAATATTAATTCTTCCTATCCATGAGCACGGGGTGTGTTTCCATATATTGGTATCTTCTTTAATTTCTCTCATGAGTGTCTTGTAGTTTTCAGAGTACAGGTCTTTCACTTACTTGGTTAGGTTTATTCCTAGGTATTTTATTCTTTTTGGTGCAGTTGCGAATGAAATTGTTTTCCTGATTTCTCCCTCTGCTAGTTCATCATTATTGTATAGGAATGCAACAGATTTCTGTGTATTAATTTTGTATCCCGCAACTTTGCTGAATGTAGATATTGGATCTAGTAGTTTTGGAGTGGATTCTTTAGGGGTTTTTTATGTACAATATCATGTCATCTGCAAACAGGGACAGTTTAACTTCTTCCTTACCAATCTGGATGCCCTTTATTTCTTTGTGTTGTCTGCTGTGGCTAGGACCTCCAGGAGTAAGTTGAATAGAAGTGGAAAGAGTGGGCATCCTTGTCTTGTTCCTGATCTTAAAGTAAAGGTTTCAGGTTCTCTCTGTTAATTATGATGTTGGCTGTTGGTTTGTCATATATGGCTTTTATTATGCTGAGGTACTTGCCCTCTGTACCCATTTTGTTGAGAGTTTTTATCATGAATGGATGTTGAATTTTTTCAAATGCTTTTTTGGCATCTATGGAGATGATCATGTGGTTTTTGTCCTTCTTTTTGTTGATGTGATAGATGATGTTGATTGATTTTCTAATATTATACCATCCTTGCATCCCTGGAATAAATCCTACTTGATCATGGTAGATGATCTTTTTTATATGTTTTTGGATTTGGTTTGCTAATATTTTGTTGAATATGTTTGCATCTATGTTCACCAGGGTATTGATCTGTAATTTTCTTTTTTTGTGTTGTGTCTTTGCCTGGTTTTGGTATTAAAGTGATGCTGGCCTCATAGAATGAGTTTGGAAGTATTCCATCTTCTACTTTTTGGAAAACTTTTAGGAGGATGGATATTAGGTCTTCACTAAATGTTTGAAAAAATTCAGCTGTGAAGCCATCTGTTACAGGGGATTTTTTCTTAGGTAGTTTTTTTTATTACTGATTCAGTTTCTTTGCTGGTAATTGGTCTGTTCAGATTTTATGTTTCTTCTGCGTCAGCCTTAAAAGGCTGTATTTTTCTAGAAAGTTATCCATTTCTTCTAGGTTATCCAGTTTGTTAGCATATAATTTTTCATAGTATTCTCTAATAATTCTTTGTATTTCTGTGGTGTCCATAGTGATTTTTCCTTTCTCATTTCTGATTCTGTTTATGTGTGTAGACTCTCTTTTTTCTTGATAAGTCTTGCTAGGCATTTATCTATTTAATTTTCTCGAAGAACCAGCCCCTGTTTTCATTGATTCTTTCTACTGTTTTACTCTTCTCAATTTTATTTATTTCTGCTCTGATCTTTATTATGTCCCTTCTATGGGCTTTGGGCCTCATTTGTTCTTCTTTTTCTAGTTTCCTTAATTGTGAGTTTTGACTGTTCATATAGGATTGTTCTTCTTTCCTGAGGTAGGCCTGTATTGTAATATACTTCCATCTTAGCAAGGCCTTTGCTACGTCCCACAGATTTTGTGGTGTTGAATTATTTTTGTCATTTGTCTCCATTTACTGCTTGATCTCTGTTTTTATTTTGTTATTGATCCATTGATTATTTAGGAACATGTTATTAAGCCCTCATGTGTTTGTGGGCTTTTTTGTTTTCTTTGTGTAATTTATTTCTAGTTTCATACCTTTGTGGTCTGAGAAGCTGGTTGGTACAATTTCAATCTTTTTGAATTTACTGAGGCTTTTGTTGTGGCCTAGTATATGATCTATTCTTAAAAATGTTCCATGTGCACTTGAGAAGAATGTGTATCCTGTTGCTTTTGGATGCAGTGTTCTGTAGATGTCCATTAAGTCCATCTGTTCTAATACATTGTTCAGTGCCTCTGTCTCCTTATTTTCTGTCTGGTTGATCTGCCCTTTGGAGTGAGTGGTATGTTGAAGTCTCCTAAAATGAATGCTTTGCATTCTATTTCCCCCTTTAATTCTGTGAGTATTTGTTCCATATATGTAGACAATCCTGTGTTAGGTGTATAGGTATTTAAAATAGTTATATCCTCTTGTCGGACTGACCCCTTTATCATTATGTAATGTGCTTCTATGTGTCTTGTGACTTTCTTTGTTTTGAAGTCTCTTTTGTCTGATAAAAGTACTGCAACTCCTGCCTTTTTCTCCCTATGAGTTGCATGAAATATCTTTTTCCATCCATTTGCTTTTGTCTGTGTATGTATTTGGGTTTAAAGTGAGTCTCTTGTAGGCAGCATACAGATGGGTCTTGTTTTTTTATCTGTTGAGTGACTCTGTGTCTTTTGATTGGTGCATTCAGTCCATTTTCATTTAGGGTGACTATCGATAGGTAGGTACTTATTTCCATTACAGGCTTTAGATTTGTGGTTACCAAAGGTTCAAAGTTAACTTCCTTACTATGTAAGAGTGTAACTTAACTCACTTAGTGTGCTGTTACAGACACAACCTAAAGGTTCTTTCTTTCTCCTCCTTTTTCTTCCTCCTCCATTCTTTATATATTAGGTATCATATTCTGTACTCTTTGTCCCTTGACTGACTTTGCAGGTACTTGATTTAATTTTGCATTTTCTTAGTAATTAACTGTTTTACTCCCTTTACTGTGGTTTTATTACTTCTGGTGACAGCTATTATACCATAGGAACACCTCCATCTGTAGCAGTCCCTCCAAAATACACTGTAGAGACGGTTTGTGGGAGGTAAATTCTCTCAGCTTTAACTTATCTGGAAATAGTTTAATCGCTCCTTCAAATTTAAATGATAATCTTGACGGGTAAAGTATTCTTGGTTTGAGGCCCTTCTGCTTCATTGCATTACATATATCATGCCACTCCCTTCTGGCCTGTAAGATTTCTGCTGAGAAGTCTTATGATATCCTGATGGGCTTTCCTTTGTATGTGATCTTATTTCTCTCTCTGGCTGCTCTTAATAGTCTGTCCTTTATCCTTGATCTTTGCCATTTTAATTATTATATGTCTTGGCATTGTCTTCTTTGAATCCCTTGTGTTTGGAGATCTGTGCACTTCCATGGCCTGAGAGACTATCTCCTTTGCAGATTGGGGAAGTTTTCACCAATTACCTCTTAAAAGACACTTTCTATCCCTTTTTCTCTCTTTCCTTTTTCTGGTACCCCTGTAATGTGAATATTGTTCCATTTGGATTGGACACACAATTCTCTCAATATTCTTTCATTCTTAGAGATCCTTTTTTCTCTCTGTGCCTCAGCTCCTTCGTATTTCTCTTCTCTAATTTCTATTTATCATCTCCCCCACCATATCTAATCTGCTTTTAAAACCTTCCATTGTATGTTTCATTTCTGATACTGTGTTCTGTAATGACTGGATCTCTGACCAGAATTCATTCCTGACTTCTTGAATATTTTTTGGTACCTCCGCTAACATGTTTATGATTTTTCTTTTGAAATCTTTTTCTGGTAGATGCATAGATCGGTTTTGTTTGACTCCTTTTCTGGTGTATGTATGATTTTGCTTTGAACCTGGTTCCTTTGAAATGTTTCATATTTGTATGTGGCACCCTCTAGTGCCCATAAGCTCTACTCTCTGGAGCTGCTCAGCCCCTGGAACAATGTCAGAGGTCACAGGGGAGCGGTGTTGGTACCTGGGGGCAGGAAAGAGCTGTTTCCTGCTTCTCAGCTGCTATGCCTGTCTCCACTGCCAGAACCAGTGGACAGAGCACACAGGTATAAGCCTCTATGCTTTGCTTTTGTAGCTGCTTTACGTGGGTCTTCCCTCTGGCTGGCCTGACCCCAGGGCATGGTTTGCCAGTTCGTGAGCCAGGTGTGGCTGGCCGGGAGGAAGGTGCAGCAGGCTGTGTATCATGGTGGGGGGCCTTGGAGCTGCACAGCCAGCCATGGGGCTGGAGTGCCTGAAGATAGTTTAAGCTCCCAACCTGCTGGGCAGAGTGCACCTAGACAATTTTGTCTACCTGTCCTTTCTCCTGAGCAGTCCTTGCCCCTTTAGCAGCCCTCTCGCTGTTAGGAAGTCTCCCAGATTGCCTGCCTTTCTTTTGTCCCAGAGCAGCTGGATATGGATCCCTGTTTTCCACCAGTGGCTGGAATCTCAGTCCCTCCAAGTATTCTGCCTGTCTTAGCTTTCCAACCCCCCTAATCACCAGGGCACCATGCAATGTAAGTTTGTGCTCCTAGAGCAGATCTCCAGAGCTAGGTGTTCAGCAGTCCCAGGCCTCCACTCCCTCTCTGCTCTGTTTCTCATCCTGTCACCGGTGAGCTTGGGAGAGGGAAGGGCTTGGGTCCTGCTGGGTCATGGCTTTTGTACATTACCCTGTTCCATGAGGTCTGTTCTTTCTCCAGGTGTATGCAGTCTGGTGCAGCCTTCTTTCCTGTATCTCTTTCAGGATTAGTTGTATCAATTGTATTTTCATATTATTGTGGTTTTCATATCTACTGTCTCACCTCTCACGCCACCATGTTTTTACTATCATTCATTTTATATGTGAAGGCGTTTCATCCAAAACAATTCAACAGTTCTGACTGCATTTCTGGTTTGATAACGATGATTGAAGTGGTGATAGGAATCTAACATTTCACATAAATTTAATTTTTCTGCAAAACTAGATGCCTTCAGCTTGAGAGTGTCATAATTAAGATATTGTATTAGTTTTGTAGAGCTGCTGATACAAATTACCACAAACCAGTGGCTTAAAACAACAGAAATTGATTTTCTCACAATTCTGGAGTCCAGAATTCTGAAATCAAGGTGTCAGCACCTTCTGAAGACTCTATGAGAGAATCTTTCCTGGCCTCTTTCAGTTTTTGGTGGGTCTAAAAATTTCTTGGCTTGTTGGTACATAAATCTAGTCTCTGTCTTTTTCATGTCCTTCTCCTCTTCTTCCTGTGCATCTCTTATGAGGACACTAGTCCCTGGGTGTGTGTCTCATGAGGACACTTGTCACTGGATTTAGGGCTCATTTGAATAACCCAGGATTATCTTTCTTGAGATCCTTCACTTAAATGCATCTGCAAAGATGCTTTTTAAAATAAGGCCACATTCATGGATTCTAAGGACTGGGACTCAGACATTTATTTTGGAGATGGGGGCCTACCATTCAACCTGGCACAGGTATGAAGTCAAGAGATGTACACTGAAACAATTAACCAGATAAATTCATGGATAGTTTTCTTAGAAAGCAGTTCATGCTCAATTTCTATTTGAATTAGGGTAACAATATATCCTGGCTTGTCCAAGTTTATGCCTCTGTCCTGGCTTTATGGTTAGTTGTGTCCCTCTAACCCTCAAATGTCTTGGTTCCCTCTCTTTGTTTACCCTGGCTTTAAGCCACATGGTCCACAGGAGGGCTCTTGATGAGAAAGACGACAGTAGTTGACTGGGGCAGGCTTGCTCTGAATCCTTTTTTTAAATTTCCACTTGTTTTCCTCAGTGTCATCCATGGTGGTTCATGAACTTTGGTTCTAACCAAACATTTCAGATGCAAATGGGAAATGGCTATGGGTGTTTGCTATTATCTTATTGAGGATGTGTCTTGGCTATAAAAACCCAACTATTAATAATTCAGAAAAAAACCATTTGGTAACCTGATTTAATTTAAAGGTATTTGGAGAAGAAGCGATTACTATTTCCAAGATTCTTCTTTGTATCTGATCCAGTTCTCCTGGAAATTCTTGGACAAGCCAGTGATTCCCACACCATACAGGTATAGTCTAAATATCTATTATCTAAACCATTTTTCCACTAATGAAAATGAAGCTAATATCTTAAAAGTGCAGGCAGGAAAGAAGAGTATTAAAAGTTATGTTGATTATTAAATGTCCTATTTTCTGTGTATTTGGAGCTCACTGACATGAAGCAATAGTCACTGGTTATGTGACTCAACAGCTGGGTGACTTTGGCCAGCTTTTTAATTTTTTCTGTGCCTCAGTTTCCTTGTCTGTAAAATTGACATATTAATGGTCCCTGTCTCATAGGATTGTACAACCATTACATGAGATAATGCATTGAAAAGTATCTGGCATACAGTATGTGCTCACTCTAAGTGAACTTCTTTATTATTCTCAGATCAACTTTGGATTGTGGTTTGGATTTATCCTTTTTTCCATCCAGAATCCTTCTCAAATGCTTTTAGCCATTTCCAGGGCATGAAAAGAAAAACTATAGAGAACTGGGTGTGGGAGGCACTACAACATCCATCCCAGAACTATTTCTGGTTCAGAAATCTGAGAAGCAGCTAATAATATCTTCTTGTTGGTTTCCAAGAAGTTATGGGGATCAGAAAAGAGGAGGGAAAGAAAAGCTGTGTCAGTCAGAGAGAGAGCCAAGAGAGGAGGTGGGACGGAGCTGTCTCTGGGACAGAAGAGGCATGGTTCAGTCTCCCTCTGGAGGAAGGTGATGGGCATTAGTCCAAGGGCCATTTGCAGGACTTGGAAGCATGCTCTAGGGCTCGATTTTAAAAAGTGGTCTTCAAGTCAGCCAAGGGCCAAAGAGAGCTTTTTTGTTTTTGACAATCAAGTAAATTCTTAATCTTTTACAAAAATGAAAATTATTAGGGCTTTTAAAAAAATCTCAGTGGCTTTTGTGTTTAGTTTCCATGTATGATGTTCTTGCTGTCTGTGCTTCTTGTAGCCACACCTCCCTGCAGTATCTGACAACATAAATGAGGTGACCTTCCACGCAAAAGACTATGATCGTATCCTGGCCGTCATATCAAGAGAAGGAGAAAAAATTATTGTAATTTCACTTCATTAAACTTTCATTATTAGAATTTCTTTGAAAGTTTAGTATGGGGAGAAATACAATTCCCTTACGAAAAACGGGGTAGGGGCTGAGGGTTGGACTTGGGTTCTGATTCTGTAGCCCTGGCTTTGGCACAAGCTAGTTTGGATAACTCACTTAACCTCTCTAAGACTCATTTTATTATCTGTAAAATGAAGGTTTTAGACCAGATGATCTTTATAATCCCTTCCACCCACAGTATTAGTTGATTTTACTAATGTTTTAACCATTTTGTGTAAAATTATTTGCTTTGTACTGAGGTACTATGATTTATCAAGTTAAGTGTGTGACATTTGTGAAAATACAAAATTGTTATCAATGTGTAATATATTTGTAATATATTTTTTAGTTGGATAATCCTGTTATAGCCAAAGGTCCTGTAGAGATTTGGCTTCTGGAATTGTTAAAAATACAGATGTCGTCATTACATAACATAATCAGATCTGCATTCTATCAAATCAGTGATTCAGGATTTCAGCTCTTACCTTTCCTCAGTCACTTTCCAGCACAGGTGAGCATATACAATGTTTAAATAATGGAAGTAAAGGGGAAGGATACTCAGGAGGCATTCAGCCTGGGGGTGTGGAGGCCATTGTAGATTTGTTTTAGTTAGGGAGGCTTACACGCCCTCAACTCCCAACCAACTGCTTGTCCACCTACACCATTCTAGGCCAAGCCATCCCATCTGCCAGAAGAGGATGTGCCACTATTACCCCATCATTAAAGATATACACTGAGATTAAAACCACTAATGGATAATTTCATCTTCAAAGATACTTATCCACATACATCTATCTATCTATATATACCTATCCGTAGATAGGTATAAGTATGGATATGGACATATAAATAAAAGGAATGAGAATATCTTTTCCTGAAAGGAAATCCATCCTGCCTTTTGTTTATGCTCTTTTCACATGATCTGGTAAAGGAGGGTTTCTCATGCAACTTTTTTAAGAGAGGGGACCTTGAAGAGGCTGGGGTAGCAGCAGGAATTCTCTTGAGTGACTCTCATGTCCTATGGGTCTTAGCAGTGCACTGTCATGTCCCAAGTATTATTAGAGCCTGATATAGTTATGAAGGGCCAACAGTTTCATTAAATTTTCAGCCAAGATAAATGAAAAATGGTCATCTGTGATCCGGGTCCAAGATAGTATAGTATAGAAAGCAAGAGATGCTCAAGGAAAATACAGGCAGTTTTTGCCCAAACTGTATTTCTTCTTCAACTGCTCCTTCTAACTCACACTTGAAATCTTTAATTACTGCACACACAGTGGAATAACTGAAATGATATGAAATTATTTATTCAAATGATACAAGTACATATATGGAATCAACCTTTATTGGAAATGATATTTTAATATTATTATTTTCATATTGCATAATATCTTTAGCAGACTTTAATATTCTTATGAGCATTATTATCTTTGTGATAAAGCTTTACAAAGTACTTTATTTGATAAGCTGAGAAAATGGCTCCTTAGACTCAATCAACATATTTTCCCTCTCCCAGGAAGCTCGATCACCCTCTGTATTCTGAAGGAGAGGCTCAGTCTTGTTTAAACAGAGGATTTAGCAGTAGGAAGAGAGCTGAGAACAAGTTCAAAGTAGCAGTAAAACTGAACAGGATGTAACAGGAAAGTTGACCAGATTTCAGGATTTCCTTTAGTGTGTATACATAAATACATGTGTATATACACAACTAAAAAGGTGAAATTTTACACAGTTTTAGATAAAATCTCAGCATTGTATTGGGCAAATTTCAGATATTTAGGAAAATTGCTTTAACGAGCAATGTATATACCAAATGAATATATATAGAATATATATTCAATATATATTAAGTGAATATATATAATTGAATATATTAAGTGAATATATATATACTCAATATATAGAATGAATTTATGTACTCTGTTCTAAAATACATTTTTTAAGATTATGAAGCAAGTGGATCCTTGTCTCAAAAATTTGGAAGCATTTGAAAAATATGAAGATCAAAGTTAGAATTTTCCATATTTCTACCATGTGGACATGATGGTTGTTCAGATTTTAGTACATTCCTTCCAATATTTTTTAATGTGTTAATTACAGACATCAGATAATATTGATGAGAATGAACACTTGTGTTTTGTTTTCCGCTGTAATGAGATGTCATCCAGTTTTCACCATAAAGTCCCTTGCTTTCTTAAACAGTGAAAAACATAATTCACACTTTTCTCAGTAACTCCGGATAGCCATTTTAAAGATTAGTTTTCAGAAAATACTACCAAAGAGTGATTTTTCAGGGTCTGCAGGTCTTTTTTCTTTAAATCCATCAGCCTTATACTTCTCTGTGTTGTTTTCTCTTTGCTATCTTGCACTCTCTGCTGTTGCCCATCAGGGTCAGAATGAGCTTGCTGTAGACAACTCACTGACACCAGCTATTTCTTCTACATCCCGTTGCTCAGTTTGGCCAGGGGCTTTCATTTATCTTAACCTGCAGACGCCAGGATTGGCCACTGCTCTAGCAGGAAAAATACCACAGTCTCGAGGAGGCAGGGATAAGGAAAGGGTTTTATTCCTCCTTTACCCACAGCGGAGGCCAGGCCCAGCACTATCCACATGACGCTCACACTGCTTTCACTCTCCTGCCAAATGTGGAGTTCCTTTTTGGTCCAAAGGATCTTGGATCTGTTGCTTGACTCTGGGGATGAACAAAAGCTCCCAAAGAGACAACTATTCCAACAAGGAGGTGAAGGTGGGGTATGTTCTGACCACTTTTATCCCTTTCCTGGGGCAGAAATTATAAGTAAGGTGACATTTACTCACAATTTCCATATGCCTTCATCAGGAGACAAGGACAAGCTTCTCCCTTTATCACTTTCTCTCCTTCTCCTTTATGTATGTGTATAGACAGATCAATATAGATAAAGATATGGACATTAGAAATGTTGGAATCAGGAGAGGAGAAAGGCAGCATCTTCTTTAGAAATTGCAGAGGCCTCTGGGAAACCCTGCTAAAGAAAAATCCACAAGTCTGCTAATTCCATTTACTTTCTTGAGAAAGAAAACTCATCATATGAAGGTATTTGGTGGTTTCAAGCTCTCTATAGAAAAATTCCCTAAGCATTTTCCATAACACACACGTAACTCCATGAATAGAAGCCATTGTATTGTTATTTGTCCATCTACATTGAAATAATTAAATATCAATTAGTTAGGACTTTAAATGTATTTTTCCCCTTTTGGGAGTAGAAAATGTATGTCTCTTTTTTTAGCTTGAAATGAGAAAATCCTGTTTGCCTTCATGTGACCATCAAATTTTATTGCAGTTATGCTTGAAATATTTAGAAAATTCATTTGTCTGCTGGATTTGTAGGTTGGGCTTCTAGGAATTCAGATGCTGTGGACACATGATTCCGAAGAGGCTTTAAATAAAGCAAAAGATGACAGGAAAATCATGCAAGTGACCAATCAGAAATTCTTGGATATTCTGAATACTCTAATTAGTCAGACAACACATGATCTAAGCAAGTTTGACAGAGTGAAATTCGAGACTCTAATTACCATCCATGTGCATCAGAGAGATATTTTTGATGACTTGGTAAAGTATCATTTTTCTTAAAGTAATTTATTATACTAATTAATAACTTAATGCTCCTAATAATGAACAATTAAGTATTGTACATATTTCCCAACTCACGTGAACTGTCTTTCTGCTTTGTCCTTTTTCACAAGTGTCTCTGTATATGTATATACATTGCCTACAAATATCTTTATTTGGTGGTTTAAACAACCATATACGTACATTCACATTTGGTATTCTGAAAGTCTGGAACCAACTAGTGTAATATGAATGAATTGTTCCATTAAACCAAATAGCTAGGGATCTGATATAATTTAGGTGGGATTTGTCATGAGTTACAATGGGCCAGTTGGGAAAGAAGTCCATATTGAAAAGAATCAAGCTTCACAGAACCCTCATGGCTATTTGTCCATTTGATAGACCTGTTGGACACGGACGGGACCATGGGCTTGATTTGGGCAAGGGTCTATAGGGTGAAAGTAAGAGACATGGCATTTGAATTCCCTTTGGAAACAGAACTCTAACCAGTGACCTTGAGCGAGACCAAGTTCTCCTAAGGCAGGGGTTACCTATTACAGAGTAGAGGCTTAGGTGGTTTTCAGAAACCACCATTTGTCTTTAATTTGATTTGATTCATCTTAAAGGCATCTATTTCACCAGAGACACATAATTCATGCAACTTGGGCCCTTTTTTAGATAATATAATCATAGGCTACCTGTTTCAAACTTTTGTCAAAAGCTCCAATTAGATAAATTATGTTTATTGAAGATTGAAGGACACAGTCCATTTATTCCCCTGGAATCTAGGTCCTCACTCCTAAAAATATTGTATGCCAACCAGTTGCACTGACATCTCCTGGGAGCTTGTTAGAAAAGCAGAATCTCCAGCCTCCTTTTCCCAGTGTACAGCCGTCTCCCAACTGATTCATAATCCACATTTCAACAAGATTCCCAGGTGATTCATATGCATATTAAAGTTTAAGAAACACTGCTCTGGGATTTATTTCTGGATCTCTGGATCAAGCCAATCATTCTTAGATGGTCTGCATGCTTAGACCATATGGTCTGCATACTTAGACCATATTTCTTTGGCCATCTTCAGATCTGCTTTCACTGAATTGAAGTTAGTTATACTTTGGCTTTCACTGAAGTCCACTTCAGGAAACTCCTGTGGCATCCATTACTGCATCTGCTGAGCATGCTACTGAGGATGTTGTCTATACATCTCCCACTGACTTAAAACTGGAGTCCCATGGAAGAAATTTCTTTTAAATTTAAGTGCTGTACAAAGCTGTACTTTACATACAGAATGGATTTTTTTAAAACCTATACACAGTTAAAACCATGAAACTCTTTTCTTGTCTTAGTCACTATTGAACCCAAATGGAATGCATGGTCAGTTTGCATCCCAACCAAAATGAGATCTCATGGCCAGTGTATCTGCATTTTATTTTTCCATGTATAATGCTTAGAATGGCCTGATATACAGTAAGAACTCAATAAATATTAGCTATTCTTTCTGCTTCCTTTTCATCTTAACCTCACCATCTTAACAGATTGTTGAAAGGAGTTAGCTAATTGTATCTCCATGGCCACAGGTCCTGTGTTGGAGAGCAGAATTCTTGAGGGGGTAGGAAGGGTGGCACTGGATTATGTTACCTGAAAGTAGCTATTTTCAAAAAGGTGATGAATACAGACTGCTTCAGGAGGGAAGCCAGAATTCTTAATTAGCAGGGGAAACAAGGTCATAAGCAATGAAACAATACAGCAAAAAGAAAGATTGTAAATAGCACAGAGACTTGATTAGATGGAGTCTGAACATTGTACAAAGTCCATTGTACAAAAGTCAGCTGAATGAGCTGGAAGTGGGATACTGGTTTTAAGAGCACTGAAGGGGACCATTTACCACTTTCCTATGTTGAGTACCCTGAGTGGGCAGTACTGGGGTTTCTCCAAGTTTGCCAATAGGAAGTCATGAAGCACCCCAGAGAGTGGTTGTTGGGGGATGTTGATCAAAAATGTGCTTGCCTTGTTTCTTTCTTGCATCCATGGCAGTGGAAGCCCAGTAGGTATTTGCTGATGACAGGGAAGGTTGATTAGTTTGGCCAAAGTGCTAGTGTAGGGAGACATGAAGGCATGTGTGCATATATGAGCATACATCTCTCTGCTTAACCCCTTTGGTGGCTTCCCATTACCATGAGAACAGCGCCCAACCCCTTTCCCATGCCCTGGGGCCTCAGCTCTTTCTCCAGCATCCTGGACACCTCAGCTGCACTGAACGTCTTCCAGTTTCTTGAGCATGCCCCTCGGACTTGGGTTTTTGACTAGAACATTTTGTCCTTTCAAATCCCCCTCACCCTTTTTATTTCCCTGGCTAATCCCTACCATTTATCCAGGTTTTTGTTTAGATGTTTCTTTCCCTCTCAGAGCTGCTAGACTAGGTTAGGTCCTCTTGCCACACATTTTCATGAACCCTGAATTTTTCTTTTCATACTTTATTGCAATTACTTGTGCATTTGTTCGTGTTTTGTCCTTTTCTGTCTGCTCCAGAAGGCAGGAACACTCTCTGTCTTTGTTTACCTGACACAATGTCAGGCCCAAGGACAGACTCAATAAATATATGTTCAATAAATGAGAAGCAGTTCAGGAAGGAGTAAATAAAAACTGCCCGTATACTTATGTTTTAATACTAATGCAATTCAGTATGTAATCTTTTTGTATTTTGTGTTTTTAAGGTAAAAATGCATATCAAGTCAGTTACTGATTTTGAATGGCTAAAACAGAGCAGATTTTATTTTAAGGAAGATTTGGATCAAACTGTGGTGTCTATTACAGATGTTAATTTTGTTTACCAAAATGAATTTCTGGGATGCACTGATCGTCTTGTTATCACTCCATTAACAGATAGGTGGGAAACTCAGTTTTTGTTCCTCCGTTTTGTAATTAAGTCATATGCTTAAAATGGTTTTAAAATTGTATTCGAAATATTAACAAAAGCATATTCCTGTTGTGTTAGGGCTATGCTAGGTCATCAAAGTCAGTCTATCAATGTAATAACCATAGTTCTTACTTAAACATACATGTACCATACATTTTTATGAAGTAGAAAAAGATCAAGGAATAAAAGCAAGCTTGAATGTGAATTTTAGATTGCAAGATGGAAAAATATCTCTAGAACTGTAAAAGAAGTTGTTAGAATTGCAAAGAAAGAAGGGGCCTTGGAGATTCTCTAGTTTAGTCTCCTGGTTTTTCAGCTGTGGAAATTGATACCTAAAGTGAAGTTTCTTGGCCATGTCTGAATCTCCAGTTAATGGCAGATCCCCTCACAGTTCTTTTTGGTATGTGATACTAGAAAAGAACTGGGTCTTTTTGTTTCTGTGTATCCCACAGCACCCAGTTCAATATGGTGTGCACAGAAGACCCTCAATAAATGTTTGTAGAATTGTCTTAAGATGGGTCATAGAACAATTCATTTTGCCATTAACTTAATAGGGTTGCCCCCAGGTAAAATTATGACACAATTACATCTTCAGACTTGTCTTGTTTGATCTGACCTCCCTTTATATGCCCAGTGCCATAAATTTGTCAATGTTTTTTCTCTTCCTTCCATTGATGTTTACATGTAAAGCTTCATGCCTCCTGAAGCTTTACTAAGTTTTACTTAGATGTGAAACACATATAACTGAAACTAGATCATAGATACAAAATTCATTTTATTATTTTTCACACTTGTCTAGTGAGCAAAACACCTCATAGTAAAATAATTTGTTTTCAGTGGTATGCTGGAACTGGCTTATACTGGCTTGCAAGAGGCACCTACATGCATGTTTCCCCAATTTTGTGATATCACATTGGTAGCTTGTCACTGGTGGAAGTATTTGTACCACTGAAATTATTAATTTTTTTTCCTGGAGAGCCAGTTGTTAACATCTGCCAGCACATCACGGCTTACCTGGTTCTCTGACTTGTGATTTATGCTGATCACAGTGGAAGGGAGTCCTGAAGGTTTTAAGTCAGGGTTGAAGAGTTCAGAAGTTTGTTCCAATAAATTTTTGCACACACTGCACTACTTCTCATGAATATCAGGTACTCCAGCCTTGGTTGACTGCCTGCCTCTTTCACGTGGCCTGTTCAGATTCTCAAGTAATACGGTCCATTCCAGCCCCGTCAGACTTGTGCTTGCACTTGACTGTAATATGTGCTATTCCCCATTAACCACATGGCATCTGATTTGCAGATGCTACATCACCTTGGCACAGGCCTTGGGGATGAACATGGGCGGTGCTCCAGCAGGACCTGCAGGCACTGGCAAAACAGAAACGACAAAAGACATGGGAAGATGTTTGGGAAAATACGTGGTTGTGTTTAACTGCTCAGATCAAATGGATTTCAGAGGACTAGGGAGGATTTTTAAAGGTAAGTGTCAAAACAGTGTTAAATTACTTTTGGTGAATGTTTACTTTTTTGCACTTATTTTGTGATATAAATCTAGAGTGATATTATCCCACGTAACTGACACTACAGGTGGATGCCTACCATACTGCCATTTCTCTGGGTCAAAAATGGCTGGACAGCATCAAGCTCATATGGTTCCATACTATTGCTGGCATTATAGCCCAGGAGTTGAATGTATATTGGATTATGAAAATGAAAAAAATTATTATTGCCTGGAACAGTGGTGGAGGAGATAAAATCAAGATAGCCAACTGAAGACACATGTGAATTCCCTTCCTGCATTAAATCTTACTGAAATGAGAGATTTTTAAAAAGCATAGCAACAGTGGAAAACAAAAAGGGAGCCATCAGCAGGTGGGAAATTTTGAGAACATCCTGAAAGATAGGTGGGAGGTAGTTTCTCTGATAGAGAACAAAGATCTGAGAACACTTCAGCCTTGAACTCAGTTTTTGGTGCTCTTGCTCTTGCTCTTCTCTTTTATATCTACACGCAATCTCTTTGTGATCTCATGCAGATCCCCCAAAATACTATGCACATGATCAAATTTGTATCTCTAGCTTGGATTTCTCCTTGAAACTCCAGATTCGTATATATAACTGATATTTACTACTTGACATCTATCTCTACTTAAATATCTAATAGTCCCAAATTCACTATATCCCAAACCAAACTCCTGACCTCCGCTTTCCATATCTACTCCTTCCCCAGCCTTCGCACTGACTTGCCACTGCACTCATCCGGATGCTCAGACAGAAAGCTTTGACCTTATCCTTTACTCCTCTCTTTCTCCCATATCCAAACTGTCAGCAAACATTACTGGCTCTGCCTTGCAAATACCTGTAAATCTGACCACCTCTTGTCATCCCTATGGCTGTCATCCTGGTTCAAGCCAACCACCACCTCTTACCTGTGCTGTTCCAGTAAGCCTCCTAACTGGTCTCTCTGTTTACCTTTCCCTCCAACATTCTATTCTCAAAACAGCAGCACAGTGATCTTCCGCACGTAAGTCAGATCACAACTCTTCTGCTGAAAGCTCTCTAGTGGCTTCATTCAGAGTAAAAGCTGAAGTCCTTATAATGGTCCTGTATTGTCTTATTCAGTCACACCTGCTCCTTCCCCCCATGTTGTATTGCTCTGACCTCCAGACCCTATCTCCTAACACTCTCCCATGCTCACTCTAGTGCAGCCAGATTGGCCTTCCTGATGTTCCTCAAGCATTGGAAGCATTCTCCCTCCTCAGGTCCCTTACACTTGCTGTTCTTAGATTCTTCCCCTAGATACCCATCCATCTGGTTCTCTGGATAAAGGGCATCCACAGCAAATGGCACCCTGTTGAGACTTTGAAAGCATTCTCTTTGAGATGAGGTGTACGACAAGGAGTCAACTGTTACTACTCCTGTTCGTGGCTGTGCTCAGGTCACCCAGTGCAGTAAGGCACACGAGCAGCAGCAATACAAGTACAGAAACTGGAAAGAAACACAAAACATTATTTACAAGTGATATGGGAGCCTCTAGAGAGAACTCAGCAAATCTATAGAAAAACAGGATTTAGCAAGTATACTAGAATATGAAATCAACACACAAATTTTATTTTGATAAACCACACACACACAAAAGTAAGAAAATGAAATTTTCAGAAAGATATCATTTAAAACATAGTTTAGAGACTGTGGTATTGGTATAGGATTGAGAAATAGACCAGTGGAATATAATGGAGGGTGCAGAAACAGGCCAAGGAGACTTGACATGGGGCAAAGGTAGTATTGTAAATTGGTGGTGAAGAAATAGGCTTTTACAATAAATTATTCTGGAACAATAGATGATTAATGTTTAAAGGGAAATTGGATCTGGACATATATAAAAATTGGATGCCTACACCATATATAAAAATTAGTTCTGGGGATTAAATGCCTAAATGTGATCAGCAAAATTATATGGTTTTTAGAAGATGATAAAGGAAGACATCTTTGTTTCATAGTAGAAAGGGATTTTTAATACAAAAAAAAATCACAAACCTTAAGGAAAAGGTAGACACATTGCCTACCTCGAGTTAAAAACTGCTGTTCATCAGTGGATACCGAAGAGAGAAAAGCCATGCCAGAAATTTGGAAAAGACATTAGCAACATATATTATCTACAAGGGATTAGTATCCCAAATACAAGAAATATGCCTGTGAGTCAGTGAAAGATAACCTAATAGAAAAAATGAGAAAAAGTCTTGAACAGGCATTTCACAAATGAAGAAAACCAAATTGATCAAGAATCAAAGAATTTCATATTTTAAAGATACTAGTAGGTAAACAGATGCCTACAAATTCTGAGTAAGTAAAATATATAATGTTCATGAATACATGCGTAAGAGCAGTAGTCATTCAAAAGCATGCATAGAAACCACTGGCAGCAAATTCAGAACAGAGGCTACCTCTGGAGAAGGAGTTGTTGTGGATCCAATGAGGACATGCATGGATTTGAACTGTAGTTCTAATATTTTATTCTTTAGAATGAAACCTGAAGCAAAGTGTAAAGATCTGATAGGTGGGTACAAGGGTACTCATCCTATTACTCTCTATAATTGCCTGTTTGTGAAATCGTTTTTGAACCCCGAGAATCATCTTCCAGACAAAGAGAAGGGTTCTTCTGTGGATCACTCCTGGCTTGAGGGTCGGGGGCGGTTGAGAGAAGCGGATTGGAGCTCAAGGCACGCCCTGGAATGCCACAATCACAGCAGAAGGCAGAAAGAGAGGAAAGAAAGTGGCTCTCTTCAGTATTTTTCATCCATGTGAAAGCTGTAACACAGCTCTCCGAAGTGGGAGTCCTGACGAAGATCAACCCCAGGTCGGGGCTTGTGCCAGAGAGGCAGACACACCAGGTCAGACCGCAAGCCCCAGACCCAGAGGGGACACCCTCGTGCCTCTCCCATCCCTGCCCCAAATCACCAGGGGCAGGCATGCCTCCTGCAAACAGGAATTTGCATTTGGGGTGAGGAGAAACACACACATGCAGAGATTACAAAGTGTGACAAAATGTTTGAAGAAATTAGGGAGGTACCCCAAACAGCAAAGAAATCCATTAACCACTGAGCTGATTAAGAAACAGAAGAAAATTCAAGAGTAAATAAAATTAATAGCTTCAGAGGGATTCAAGAATTCCTCACTTACAACCAATTAAAAAAAAATAGGCTGCTGTGAAAAATAACAACCAGAATACAGTAGTTCCACCTTTTCCCACCATTTTTCATTCTGTGGTTTCAGTGACCCATGGTCAGTTGTGGCCCAGAACACGTTCCTCCTCGCGATTGTGGTCTGAGCATAGCCTGACACTGCGTCACAAGGCCTACATCATTCACCTCACTTCATCTCATCATATAGGCTTTTCATTATTTCACATCATAAGAAAAAGGGCAAGTACAGTATAATAAGATATTTTAAGAGAGGCAGAGACTACATTCATATCTTTTATTACAGTAAATTGTTATAATGCTATTTTGTTATTATTGTAGTTAATTTCTTACTTTGGCTAATTTATAAATTAACCTTTATCATAAGTATGTATGTGTAGGAAAAAACATAGTATATATAGATTTCAGTACTACCCATTGTTTCAAGCATATGCTGTGGGTCGTGGAACATATGCCCCGCAGATAAGAGGGGACTACTATTATCAGAAACTGAAAATGTAAGTTAAAAAAGAATACCTCTCTTGACGTGGAATATCTAGCCAAGAAAATACACTGTTAAGAGAAATGGAAAGTTTGACAAAAAAATCTTAAGGGTCATAGGGATAGATATATAAGTTCCAATATCCAAAAAGAGGAGAAAAACTGGGGGTGGGGAACAATAATAAGAGAAGGATATAGTCATAATATGTAAAAGAAATAATGAAAGAAGGGAATTTTGTACAGCTGAAGACAATGAAAGTTTTCACAGTTAAAGATTAGACAGGAGCAATGTTCATGCTGAGCAAGTCTCCCTTTGTGTTGGATTTTGTAAGAAATTAAAAAAATCCCTTTGGCCATTCTCTGCTCACCAACCATCCTGACATTTCCCTAATTGCAACAAGAAAGGAACAGAGTGATCTGACCCAAATGGGCCATCCCCTTTTTTGTCAGTTTCCCCAAACATTGTGACTTCTTTCATTCTCATTGCTCTGGAGGGGAAACTTCCAGACTGAATCAAATTTTGTCACCCTTCAGCATCCCTGGGTTGTAATGACATGTCTATACTTTCATTTTGGCAGTGCACTATTTTCATTGTTTTGGTGATGATATAAAAATAATTAAACCTCTCTATTTCACTGGAATTAAATATGTCTTTATAAAATAGCCAGATATGAAACTTTATATAAATCGTATTTCAATATGTAATTGTTTAAGAGCACTTTAAAGAAATGATTGCTAGCACAAAGGTTTATACCAACTAAAATTTTTCAAATGAACCGTTTTTCATACCAGGTCTGGCCCAATCAGGTTCTTGGGGCTGTTTTGATGAGTTTAACAGAATTGAATTGCCAGTATTATCAGTGGCAGCCCAACAAATTTATATTGTTTTGACAGCAAGAAAAGAGAGGAAAAAGCAGTTCATTTTTTCTGATGGTGATTGTGTTGATTTAAATCCAGAATTTGGAATCTTCCTGACAATGGTGAGAACATAGGCTGTAAATACAATTTGATTGGTTTAATTATCATAGAATTAAGTAAAAGAAAGCATATATTAGTGAGTAAATGATAATCCAGAGGTCATGAGCTATTCTCTCCTAGCATATAATTTTTCTGAATAGTAAAAATAGCACAGACAAAAGATAAAATAGTAATAATGTTATTGATAATAATAGCTACTATTTATTGAGTACCTATGTGTGAAGTGGGGGGCTAAATATTTTATATATCACATCAGACAGGATTTCTACAGTAACAATCCCCAAATCTTAGTGGCTTAATACCTCAGAGATTTATTTCTCCCTCATGCTTCATGTGCACCATGGGTTGATGAGGTAGGGGTGGAGAGGGCACCTGGTGCTGTCTCAGTCGTTGTTAGTTACTGTAGCAAAGGACAAAGAAAACATGAAGAATTACGCTTTGGCTCTTAGAGTTTCTGTCCAGAAGTGACACAAGTCACAAGCCATTGGCTAAAGCAATTTACATGGCAACACCTAACTTCAAGGGGGCAGGGAAGTGTGGGCCTGTGCTGCATTTTGTATTCAGTGGGTATTTTATAATCGAAATACCTGAGGCTCAGGGAGGTTTAAGAACTTGCTCAAGCACCCAGCCAGTTAGAGAAAGACGTTGCTGTCTAACATCAAATCTTGACTACTTAACCTCTATACTTGGTTTTTCTCTGACACTTAATAAAGGATGATAAAAATGATTTAAAGTTTCCAAAATACTTCAACAAAGTCCTATACCAAAGAATTATTAACAAATTCAGTTACCACGTGACTGTGGGCAGAGCTTTGCTATACACTGTTGTAAAGATAGAAAACCAAAAGCATGAATAAGCAGGAGTTTCTATGAATTGGAGATGTGAAGTTAATGTTGAGCCAGTTTTACTTAGTGTTTTTATATTTTCTCTATATAGGTAAATCTATAAATTGCATGATAACACAAAATACTCTGAGTTTTAACTGTCCCAGTGGTCAAAGATAAATTATAGGAAGGAAAACAGAAAGTTTCTGATAAGCTTTATTGTAAGCAAGCATCCAATAAAACAGTTGGGGGTAAATAATAATAATCCAGAGGTGATCTGAGTTATTTCTGAGTTATAAACTCTCAGAGAGAGTCTACTGAGTTATAACTCAGAAAAGGGTATGCATAAATTTACTCAGTGTGACACTATGGCCTAGAAGAATTTAAAGAAGCTTTCTCTCCTTGGATTAAGAATAATATTGGAAATACCAATGACGTATTGCACTAGGCTGTTAATAACTGAAACATGAAAAATAGTGGCTTAACACATAAGGTTTATTCACTGAAGATCCTTATGTTTCTACTCCCATCATGATTTCCATCTTCAAGGTCACTTTATGACCCATGGCGCTACAGAAGCATCTCTGTTTTGCTGCAGCTGGGTGATTAAGTCAAATCAGCTTCAAACAAACATCAAGGATACTTCATACAGTGTGTCTCTTTGCATCTTGGGGTGTAGAATTTAACCACGCCAACTGCAAGGCAGGCTGGGAATCATAGTTTTTAATCTGGGTGGTGGTTTTCTGTGAGAAGAGAGGGAGCAAGGAGTGTTGAGAGGCGACCAGCAATGTCTGTGTACCCAGGGTCTAGCAGGGTGTCTGGCCTATTGACAGTGCTCAGTCAATGCTCCAGGAGTGAAGAGTGCTTCATGCGCTTTCCTAAAATGACTGGCCACTCTTTGCCTTACTTGTCCTTCAACCCCTAATCTTTCCCTTGGGACTTCTGGGTCTGACCTGTCCTTACCTGTTGCTACTTATGAGGCCTTAGTTTCCTTTCCAACTATACTTTGGCCCTTTTCAGTATTTTTCTCCTCATTCCCATCTTTATTTCTCCTCAATGCTGTGGGTCGTTTAAGGGTACCGTGTCAGTCAAAGAACTCTATCATTCTAACTGCAAAGAGTAATTGAAGAGATGAAATAAAAATTAAATGACAAAAAGTAAACTGAGCAGTATGAAATCCTGAATTTTCTTCCTCTTTCAACATTATTTGAGATCATAATTATCCAAGTATATATTATTTATTCGATTTCTTTCATTTTTTTCTATTCTTAACTGGTAGATACACAGATGCTTAATTTTTGCAAGAGTAAGTTCTGTGTGTGACTTTTTGGTATAATGAAAATGGAAATATGTATGAAGGAGTGATGTAACATTAATAAATGTGGATGGTCTGTTACACATTTTGGAGAAAGGAGGATTGTTTTATGAACTTAAAGTTTTTCGAAACCACTTTAGAATCTGAAACAGGGATTTGAAATGTATTTGTATTCATGAAATGAAAATTATACCAGCAATTATAATTAAATAATTTTAACTTTTAGAACCCTGGATATGCTGGGCGCCAGGAACTACCAGAAAACTTAAAAATTCAGTTCAGAACTGTTGCTATGATGGTTCCTGATAGACAGGTAGGGGACCAGTATTTAAAAGCATAATATAATTTATGTTCTTTATCTGTTTTTCACTCAAATTGTTGAAAAATCTCACCATCTTCATTTTCAGATTATTATACGAGTTAAGCTTGCAAGTTGTGGTTTTCTTGAAAATGTTATCTTGGCTCAAAAGTTTTATGTTCTTTACAAGCTCTGTGAAGAGCAACTTACTAAACAGGTAACTTTGTACATCTATTTTTCCTTTCACTGTAGAACTTGTTATTTTACTTAGCAGTTTTATTACCTTGATAAATGCTAATCAATGAGTTAAAAAATTCATTGACTCATTTCTAAAATATAATTAATTGACCTATTGGTTATATATTTTAAAACCTTTTTATTTCCAAATAATTATAGATTCTCAGGAAATTGCGAAGAAATGCCAGGAGGTCCTGGAACTGTTCACCCTGCTTTCCACAATGTTGATATCTTATAACCATAGGACAGTAGCAAAACCAAATTGGTATAGTCCATAGTTTATGAAGAGTTCTCCAATTGTACATGTGCTTATGTATGTGTATGTGTGTGTTTGTATGTGTAGTTTTTATGCAGTTTTGGTACATGTGTAGATTCATGTCACCACCACCACAATCAACATTCAGAACAGTTCTCTCCCACAAGCTTCCTGCATGCTACCTTGTGTCACCCACCTCTCTCCGAAATGCCTCTTTGTAGCCACTAATCTTTTCTTCATCTCTATAATTTTGTAATTTCAATAATATTATAGAAAGGGAAGGAAGTAGTATATAACCCCTTGGTTATGCATGTTGTATCTGTTTGACATCCAGACTGTCTCAGACTGTGCTATTCTCAAAAGATACTTAAGGTGTGAACACGGTATCATACAGCTGGATATTTCCAATGGAGTGATCATTTTTCAGTCACAGGAAAAGTGGGAGAATTAAGCTAATAAAACTTTGCCACTCAGCCACTCCAAAACTATATAAGTGTCAGAGTATCTATCTATCTATCTATCTATCTATCTATCTATCTATCTATCTATCTATCTATCTATCTATCTATCTATCTATCTATCTATCTATACATATATATATAGAGAGAGTCTACTTTTAGAGTTGTCAGTTAAGTAATCTTTTTTCCCCTCTTCTCCCATCTTAGGTTCATTATGACTTTGGGTTGAGAAATATTCTATCTGTACTGAGGACACTTGGATCTCAAAAAAGAGCCCGACCAGAGGATAGTGAATTGAGCACTGTCATGAGAGGACTGAGAGACATGAACCTTTCTAAATTGGTATCTTCTCTGAATTCACTTCTCTTTCAAGAGCTTGATCTGTTTGTTTGTTTTTCTCAGTGGACAAGTGGGGCTTGGCTCATGTTGAGTTGTGAACATTAATAATTGCAGTAACAACGGGTGTGCAAAGCGGTCACTGTGCTTCCAGAAGGCAGCAAAACCCCATGGCCTTGTGAGACCAACATGGGCGAGAAATGCATCCTCTTCTCGGTTGTGTGCCATTAAACAGGCCTTATCATTTGGGCTCCAGCCCCCAAATTTCAGTCCAATCCTCTAGCATTATTCATAACGTAACACAAATTCTAAACATAAAAATCTGGGTTCACAGGGAACCATGAGAACCTTTTGCTTTCTCAGAGTATGACTTGCTTATCTCAACTATGTCTTTCCCAAAACATCAACACATTCTATTTTCCAAAAATGCACTGGAGGTTTGCTGTGGAGATCATAATACTTATTTCACCTCTTCCAAGCTTGTCACAATTACAGCCAGGTTCTTTGAATGAGCCAGTGGGCAGTTATTTATTCAAGGACTTCGGTATGCTACGTATTGTGTCCATGTCCTAGAAGTACACAGTTGAGTGTGAAATGGTTCTTAGGAAGCTCACATTTTAGTTACAAAAACTAACAACTAACATCTGTGTAGTTCATTGCTATTTACAAAGTATTTTAGGGGTGTTGCCTTATTCGAGCCTCATAGCAGTTCTATAGGGGATGAGTAGCTACTGTGCTTACTGCCTTTACCAAGTGTGCAGGACTTACCCACAGTCACAATCAGTGAAGAAGCCTAACAGAAATTGACAAGACTTTCTAATGCCAAATCCTTTGCTCCTTCCAGTATACCTCACTGCCCCCCTTAGTAATGGTATTATTGAAACCCCTCAACAAGAATTCCAGAAGGCATCAGGGGAGCCTAGGAGAATAAGGAGACGTCAGAATGGGTCAGCTTTTGGGAATGGGGTAATCTAGGATTAAAGACATGGCAAATAAAGATTAGAGTCAGTTTACTCAAACCTATTGCTTATAAGAAAGGCAGAACACAGCTCTCATGGAGTTTTCCAGACAGTGTTGGATGAGCCAGTCAGGCAAGGTTACAGATATTGTCCTAATTTAAATGAAATATTAATATTCTGTTCTCATGAGGTAGGGACTATTAATTGCATGTTTTTAAGGTTAATGCATATACCTGTTTGGGAGAAGCAGAGCATCCATACGATAAAATAATGAGATCAAACCTTGGAGCAGTAGACTGTAGAAGACATAAATGCTGTGGGACCTTGGGCACAATGCTACAGGCAATGTGTATTCAGTGGTGGTGTTCAGGAGTCAGTACTAGAGGGTGCAACTCTAGTTGGAGAGTAATAAATGATTCTCTGGGCATGACGTGATAAGTGCTGTGAGCATCCTAGCTGGTTGATAATTATTTGTTACAGTTAGTTATTATATTATTGTTATCATAGTTGATAATAATTACTGAATGAGTAAATTTATTCTATGCCATTTTAGGTTGATGAAGATGAACCCCTGTTCCTCAGCTTAATCAATGACCTGTTTCCAGGATTACAGTTGGACAGTAATACTTATGCCGAACTGCAAGCTGCGGTTGCCAACCAGGTTCAGATAGAAGGTCTGATTAACCATCCACCCTGGAATCTCAAACTTGTGCAGGTAAAGAAACTTTAAGCCATTATTAGTATAAAGAAAAGTGTGTGTTGGTAAAGAGTGCTGTTTGAGGAGAACTCATGATACTTGCTTTACTTGACGTAAATGTTGAAACTAAATAAAAACCCATCATTGTAAGAAGAGTCCTCGGGGAATGTTTTAGTCCTTGAGGGATTGTATGGATTTATCCTGCCTCACAGTAAACAAGCAGTAATTTCCGAGGTTACTTACACCTGGCGGGAAGGTTAGATGGAGCTAGAATCTCCAAGAACAGTTGGGAGGGGACAGTAGGTTATAAAACCCAGGTGGACGGAATGACCCAGCTGGCTTCTTGTGCCAGTCTGGCGGTTGGTGCTCATAGCTGAGTGCCTTCTCGAGGCATGTGGGGCCTGAGGGATCTGGGGGTGCTACTGCACTCCTGCTCTGTGTGTGGACATGTTCACACCTCCACAGAAATTCAGAAATTCAGATGGTGTCTTTCTGTCCATCACATTTCCTCCTTGTGAAAGCCATACAGCCAGTTGCTCAGTGAAGTTAAGAAGCTGAGGCAGAGGCTGAAGCTTTGGAAGTATTTTTGGACTTGAGGAAAATGAAGGAGCTGAAATTGTGGAGAGTGTTAAAATCTGCATTTGAAAAATAGCAATTCTTATTTTAATTTACTGCTCTTGCCAGATTATAAGAAGTGCAAGTATTTAAGACGTATCTAAATCTTACAAGGAACTATATGGGGCAAAGTTTTTTTAATTGCTCATATATTGGAAGCCATTAAAAAATTTCTTTTAATTTTGGGGAAAACATATTATACATGATATGCATACAGTATTAATGAGTACTAAAATCCTAGTCATCTCAGTGGGTGTGGGTCTAGAATACTGAGTTCTTATTTGATGTCAGTAACATTACTCTTGAATACAATGTTATGGCCCAGTGCCTCTATTAGTTTTAAACTCTGTTACAGTACTAATACATTTTATCTAAAATGTTAGAAGAACAAGTCAAATTCTACCTCTGATTATCTGTGAGACCTCCGACTTCTAATTTTTATTAAGGATGTCATAACAGACGCTCTCCACCTCCTCATATGTTTCCTTGAATCTCTTACAGTATCTGTGTGCCTCTCCATAGCCCACGCTCACCACTTCTTCAGGCCAGACCAACCTCTCCTTAGTGAAGGACTGGCAGGTGATGGAGGGGGAGAGGCAAGTCCCCGTGCTTCCAGGCAGAACGAACGCCTCAGTGTGACTTGCATCCCAGAGTGCCCCACGGACCAGTCTTATGTGTGCCCACCACAGGACTTTATGCTCAGTCACATGTTGCTTGACTTTACCTCATTCCTGTCCCGCTCCCCTGGTTCCCTTGTCAGTTTCTCCTGGGAGCACTCCCTGAATAAGTCCCTTGCCCAGCATCCTCATCTCAAACTGTACTTCTGGGTAACCAGGAGGCGGGTGTGTGTGACTTGGGTCTTCACTGGGATGGTGTCTGTTGCTAATTTTCGTCACTAGGGGGCAACATCGTCACACTGGATGCAGAGAACGCAGGCTCCCGTAGGTGTCAGCTAGCCAAAAACCACAAGGAATAGTAGTTTGAGAAGCGAAAACTAGATCCTGAATCACTTATTTCCAAAATGTCATTCAAGTTACACATTACCATTACTTTATCGCATAGTGTTTTGTAACGTCGTGCTAATTTCCTCTCCACATCTAGTGACGCAGAAAACATTTTTTGCACTTTCCATCTTTTAAATAGTGATCTGGTTACTTTAACAAAGAGCTTATTTAAAGATTCTTAAATTTCAGCACACTACTTCTGTGAACATCAGCAAGAGACTCGTAAGTCACATTTTCTGACTGCTTGTTTCATTTTGTAGTTATACGAGACCTCGCTGGTCCGCCATGGTTTGATGACTCTCGGGCCCAGCGGGTCTGGGAAGACTGCCGTTATCACCATCCTGATGAAAGCGCTGGCGGAATGCGGGCAGCCTCACAGGGAGATGCGGATGAACCCAAAAGCCATCACTGCGCCTCAGATGTTTGGCAGACTGGACACTGCTACCAATGACTGGACGGATGGAATTTTTTCCACTCTGTGGAGAAAAACACTAAAAGCTAAAAAAGGTACACATGAACTCCCCTTTGCCATCATTTTTCCCCCTGCCAACCTATTAATAACACAATATTGATTTTTCCATTTTAATTATCTACAGGTGGAACATGATTTTGTTTTGATTATTTGCAGGTGAAAACATTTTCCTCATTTTAGATGGCCCTGTAGATGCCATTTGGATTGAGAACTTAAATTCTGTGTTGGACGACAATAAAACCCTCACATTAGCTAATGGAGATCGCATCCCCATGGCCCCTAATTGTAAGCTTTTGTTTGAAGTCCACAATATTGAGAACGCTTCTCCTGCCACGGTTTCTAGGATGGGCATGGTCTATATCAGCAGCTCAGCTCTCACCTGGAGGCCAATATTACAGGTGGGGATAAGAGACCTCAAAAAGCATGCCCAGTGTCTTTAATTGTTTCACTTCCTTCATAAATAGTGATTCTGTTTCTTTTGTTACAGGCGTGGTTGATGAAGCGCACTGCACAGGAAGCTTCTGTATTCCAAACTCTGTATGATAAAATATTCGAAGATGTGTATACATACATGAAACTCAACCTCAACCCCAAAATGCAGCTCTTAGAGTGCAACTATATTATGCAAGTATGTTCCTGTGTATACTCACTACTGAGATTTTTTTCCCCACTCAGTTGCAGTTTAGAGGCGTCTGAAATAGAAAATTCATGCAGTCCATAGAAATCTTTTTGTGAAAGGCTTAGAGAAGTTTGATTTAATTAAAGATCTCACTAATGTTTTTATTACCATCTCTTTATTATTTTCACTTTCTGGGAGAGTTTTGTCAGGGGAAGAACAAACTATCTTTCCCACCATCAAGCTTAGTAACCTTTCCAGAATGTGCACTAAGTGCAAGAAAGGAGATGGTGGCAAGCAGGAAAACTTGGATGGCAACTTTGGCTTTACAAATTTGGTATATTTCAGATAGGGAAGACCTTTGAACAATTCTGAGCAGCTTGTAGCATTTTTTTTTTTTTTTTTTTT